AAAACGGTTTTAATCTGTAGCCAATTGCCCTTAAGGTATTGGGAGTGTTGATATTCTACGGTGGTATGAAAAATGGAGTTCGTGCACTGTGCAAACATAGCATTAACTTGGAATCAGTTAGTCTTGTACCTGACCGTCAGGCGACCTACCTTACCATTAGGCTAGACATGGCCAAAGGGCCGCCCGGTACTGACCCGGCACGGACCCGGACTGGTCAAACCTGTTGACCATGGGTCCAGGACCGGCCCGGATTTTAGACGGGTCGTGTAAGGGTCATACATTTCACGACCCGGACTGGCGGGACCGGGTCCGGGCTGGGTCAATGGTCCTTCTTTTCTATTTTTATTTTTTATTTTTTTCTATTATTTTTTAAAAAAGTAACGGACCCGGCCCGACCCGGATTTCGAACCCGGCAAGAATTTAGATCTGTGCCAGTTCAGGGTCATTATTTTCGAGTCCGTCGGTCCGGCCGGCCGGGCTGGGTCGTGACCCGACCCGGATTTTGGCCATGTCTACATACGCCTTTATATCTTCTTAGTATTATATTCATATTTATATTAGAAAATGTTATATTTTAAAACAACATAAATATAAGTATGACATTTGATAGTATAAAAATACATTTTTTGCTGATAGCTCGGAGCTGGAATCTATATATATATAATAAGAATTAACATTTTTCAAAAATAGTAAGCAAAAAAATAAAGAATATTAATTGCATTTCATTTTTGGTATGTTTTTTTAATTTTTTTAATAAAAAATCAAGTAGCATTTAATGCTAGCACAAATCATGAGATTTGTTATATAGATGTATATTTGAATTTCAAACTTCAAACAAAACATGCCTAATTGTATTTTGAATTTTTTAGGGGAAAAATTTAATAAACACGTTAAAGATTTCATACAATACATATGTTTATATATATTATCTTATCATATAGGTTAATTAGTTTCATATCTAAACAATATATATTTAAACAATATATAAACAAATATAGTAATTTGTCGTACAATACAGACAAAATATAAATATTTATATAAAAATATAATAAATAAATATACTAAAACTACAAACAGATATACAAACAATATATAAACAAATATAATAACTTGTCACGTGTATATTTCGTACAATACATATATTTATATATATTATCTTAACATATAAGTTAATTAGTTTCATATCTAAACAATATATATTTTAGGAACTTAAAGATTCATAACATTACTGACGTCATGTATATTTATAATATATTGTCACGTACATTTTACTACAATTGGTAACTTTTTCAAAATTATTTGAATAACTGGAGGTTGATTTGTAATTTGAATTTCAAATTCATTCAAACATTTAAAGAAAAATATCATAAGAAGATTTTTTTGATACATTTCATTTTATCTCAACTTACATATAATCACATTCCTACCAAACATTAAATTTTCTTATATCTTTTTAAATTAATTACATCACTAAATAATATTAATATACATTACATATTTATCATTATATAACAAATATATTACTTCTACCAGTGTTATAAATAATAATGACATTATATGATAATAGATTTTTTGATAGATTAATAATTGAGTATTATGATGAACCAAAATATGTAAAATTATTATTATTTTGTATTAAAAAATAAATATATATGTTAAAATATTATTTATAATAATATAAACGGGTCAGCGTGCTATTACAATAAATTTTATAATAAAATAATATGAGTATTATACGAGGAACAAGATTACGTAAAATTGTTATTTTTCTTATATCAATGAATAAATATATATAATGAAATCAAATTTCTATTATTATAAACATGTGAGCGAGATAATATATTAATTAATTTACGGTCTAGCGCTACCACTACCAGGCTCAGGTTTAATGTCTCGACAAAAAAGATGACGTTGATGAAAGAGGTAAAAAAATAGATGATCAAACTCTATTATTTTTTTAGGCCTTAACTGACAAGCCCTATTGTCCACTTATTTAATATTCCCCGTGAATCACACGAGCTACTTAACAGAGCTTTGGAAATGATTTATTTAATATTTATGTCCCGTGCATCGCACGGGCTACGTACTAGTTGAAGATCACACCAACAATTCTTTACCAACTAGATTTTTATATTAATTTCAAAGGGTTAATTGCTAATAAAATCTTAACTTTTTGTCTAATTACAAATAAAACTCAACTTTTTCAATTTGGCAAAAAAATACCAAACATTTAATAAGTGTTGCAATTGTGTCTCAATCACCTTCCGCCGCCGTCGGACCGCCGCCAACCGCCACCGGCCGCCAGCCAATTTCGCCGAATGTTGAAATTTTTTACATGATCTTGTAGCTCTCCTCCGTGCCAACAACATATCCGAGTTTCACGAAAAAATTCCGACAATAAGGCTTCCAATTTTCCAGTCAAAGCTCGTAGATCTACAAATTTTATCCAGCATTCTTTCGCAAATTCTCGATGACTCGCTTTGACCCACGTGAATCCGAAGGTACAGTTGAACCCCTCTCGCAAAGCCGCATCTAGTGACGTCCACCTTCGCCGGAACCGGTGACTTTTTCTGGTGACGACTTTTCCGGTCATCTCCTTATTGTCGGAATTTTTTCGTGAAACTCGGATATGTTGTCAGCACTGAGGAGAGCTACAAGATCATGTAAAAATTTTCAACATTCGGCGAAGTTGGCCGGCGGCGGGTGGCGGTTGCGGTGACGGCGGAAGGTGATTGAGACACAATTGCAACACTTATTAAAAGTTTGGTATTTTTTTGCCAAATTAAAAAAGTTGAGTTTTATTTGCAATTAAACAAAAGGTTAAGATTTTATTTGCAATAACCCAATTGAAAATATGAATCTTTAAAGATGAAATGGAAAATAAAAATAAAAATTTCACTATCAGTAAATTACAATTTTGAGGGAAAAATTCTTATAAAATATCTTAACCTTTGATGCATAATTTTGCTCAAATATTCCTCAAAATTTTCATTACCCATACTTTTAATTATTAAAAAATAGTAAATTAATTAATGAGTTGTTGTAGCTTTGAAGTGATATTCTTTAACCAAAGTTAATCATATATTTAATTTTTATATATCATAAAATTAAAAAGACTAAATAATAATTTATTTATTTATTTTATGTATTCGACTATTAGTAGAAACTGAAAGATAAAATGATTATTTGAACGGTTAGTCAGTCACTAGCTCAAGTTAGAAGCGCACTGAATCTTCCCGGCCGACACATGCCGATCTGCAACCTTTTCTCGCCGTCGTCCACGTCATCATCTTCAAGGTCCAGCTCCACAAAAGCCTGGATCATTCACGGCCTGGCGGTTGGGGCGGCGGCCGTGGCCTACTTGTACTATTGCCGATCCGGTACGTTCCGGAGCCGGGTCGTCGGAATTATACCCGCCAGATTTTCTTCCTCTCGCTTCCAGGGAAAGCCTCTTGTTCAGATTCTCGGCAAGCCCATGATCCAAGTAACTTTTTTTTCTTTACTTTTATCTTTTAGTTTCCATAAGAAAATTGGCGATTTTCTTCTTCTATCTTTGTAGTTTGTGCTGTTGACGTTTTTTTTCTCTTTTTTGGAGGATTAATTTGTGTTTTCTGTCAAATTTGATCTGGGCTGGAGCACAATTTTGTTATTCAGTTAATTCCCATTTAGGAAGAAAGGAAAATTGAGAAAACTTTAGTAATTTGAATTATGATTTTTATTTTTATTTTTTCCCTTTTTGGTGGGATGGTGCAGAGAACATGGGAAAGAGCGAAAATGGCAGCAACATTGGATCACGTTGGTATGAGGACACCTCCATCTAAATTATCAATGTCCATTATTCTGATTTTTTGTTGTTTTGGTAATTTGGCGTGTTCTTATTACTTGTGTAGTTGTGGCAACTGACGACGATAAGATTGCCGAGTGTTGTAGGGGATTCGGTGCCGATGTGGTAATGACAGCAGAATCATGTCGAAATGGTATATAACAAAGGTGCAGTTTATGCTCACTAATCACATGATGTTCTACAATTCATTTTTATATAAGGTTGTTATTTTTGGAAATTTTTTGTAGGAACTGAGCGGTGTAATGAAGCACTTCAGAAGCTCGGTAAGAAATATGATGTTGTTGTCAATATTCAAGGGGATGAGCCGCTCATAGAACCCGAAATCATAGATGGCATTGTCAAAGCCCTCCAGGTAACATAGTTTTGGTTTCGAGAGAAAATGAGGTGATCTTTAGGATTGTTGTATGTAGGTTTCTCCTTTTTCATCATCAATTTTGCATCCACATTGGCCGGCCGTGTGATTCATATATGGTCTTGACTTTTTGAGTGTTTATGGCGTCTAATGACTTTTGATAGATAAATCATGGGATTGTTGTGCAACATGGGAATCAAATTTTATGTTGTTTTAATCAGCATGCTTTTGCTGAGATTTATGTCATATTATGACCAGTTTGTTAAGGATGATATCCCAATGTTCGAAGATCAATTTAGAAATTTAGAGGACAAGTAGGACCAGGGCATTTGACCCAGAAATCTTGCTATTGGATGTATTAGGAATTTAATGTTTTATAATATATTTTGTATTGATAGGAGAGCTTTGATTTTCGGAAATTTGAATGCGTTGCTACTTGTAAATTACCAATACATGTGAATAGCGCAAAACCTTGACTTAAGTGCAACATGCATAATGTCTAATAAAATGTTCGGCACTTTGTTGCATTTTCAAATCAAATTCTGGTTGCCCAACAGTTTATACTCTTCCTTTTGTGGTTCAAGTGTAACTATGAGCATTGAGGACCCACAGTTAGTTGACAAGTTCAGAAAAAAAAAATTAAAATTGGGAAATACATGTGTGTGTGTGTGTGAATATGCTGTACGATGTTGTGCTTGAAAACATTTTACCATTATACTCGAGCACACTTACAACCAAACTGTGGCTCGTGCAGGCCTCTCCAGATGCAGTCTTTAGCACAGCCGTGACTTCTCTAAAACCCGAAGATGCTTTTGATCCTAATCGTGTCAAATGTGTGGTAGATAACCGTGGCTATGCGATTTATTTCTCGAGAGGACTTATACCATTTAACAAGTTAGTTTTCCTACAGCTATTTTCCCATTTTGCAGTCTATTAAACAAGACAGGCAGGTATTAATTAACTTCAACGAAATGCAGGTCTGGAAAAGTGAACCCTCAGTTTCCATATTTACTTCATCTGGGGATTCAGGTACCAAAACGCATAATCTCAGTGTTTTTAACATACTCCTCAAAATTGTTTTTTTTGCATTGTGTTGTCATTGCGGAAGTCTGTATTTTGACAGAGCTTCGACTCGAAGTTTCTCAAGATATACCCTGAGCTGCCGCCAACTCCACTGCAGCTCGAAGAAGATCTGGAACAGCTAAAGGTCCTTGAAAATGGATATAAAATGAAGGTGCTATATTAAATCTCTGCTCATGTTCGTTTATTCTGTTTTCTTCGTCTCTTACCTTTTTCGTGTAAATTAAAACTTATGATTCAGGACTACAAGAAGATACCTCACCTAGCTTTATTGTGAACGTGCAAAGTTCCATGATTCACGTAACTAGGGCTAACTAGGGTTGTTTTCCAATTGTACTGTTCGCGAACAAAGCTCATTCGTGTTCGATAACAGTTCGTTTGTTTAGTAATCAAACCGAATTCGAACATGAAATTATGCTCGTTTAGTTGTCGAATGAACACGAACAAGTTCGCGAAGTAAACTGAGTGTTCGCGAACAAAAAGGTATTTTATAATTTTATATTATATAGTATATACTTATATAATATATATAAATATGGATAAATAATAAATATTAAATAAAATAACTTGTATGGTTTTAAAAAAAGAAAAAAAATTCAACAAACACGAACACGAACTTGTCGAACAATTCGAACAATTGAATAGTTCACGAATTCGACTATATAAACGAGCGAACACGAACTTGTCGAACCAATAAACGAACTAACAGAACGAATTTTTTTTCCGAATATTAAACGAACGAACACGAACATGTTCGAAAATTAGTCAAACTCGAGCACGAAACTTTAAGCTCGCTTCGGTTGTGTTCGATACACGTGTAACTACCACATTCGATTGTGTAAAATACGGGAAACCCTTGATTTTTGTATATAGACCAAGAAATATGTCGTACATTCATCAACAAACAAGATCATTGAGGTTTCTAATTTAATTTCATTCCTCCACAGGTTATAAAAGTCGATCATGAGGCTCATGGTGTTGATGTTCCAGAAGATGTAGATAAAATAGAGCGGTACATGCGTGAAAGGAACCTGCACTAGCGGCATAATTTCCTCTGGGCCCTTATGGTTAAGTTTTTTACGGTTTTGCGCAAATATCCGAGTTGATGCTATGAACTTGGCTCGTTTTCAGTTTTGTATGCTTTTGCCGGTGTTTCATTCCCATAGGAGTGTTGTAACATCAAATCGGATTGTAGTTAGTATTTTTTTATTTTGAGCAGGAACTTGTTCGATTGTAAGTTTGGAAAAGATGAACTGAAACATGATTTTCCAACATGAGATCTTTTTCCTGGACACAACCAGACGATATGATTAAGATTTAAAACTTTCAGTTTAACTTGGAGAAATTGATAATGTTTTTCCAGGAGATGTATTCTGTGTGTAAAACCAAATTTATGTTTTAATAGCTTAGATGAGCTGAAATAATATTAATTTATATGTTTGTAGTTTTATGACTTTTATTTATGATCCAGCATTACTCGATGTTCAGTGACCTTTTTGTATGTTTACCACTTTTTGAAAACTTATGTAAACATACAACATTCAAAAGTCAATCAGATATAAATAAACTATTTAGAAATGAGCCATAAATCACTAAATAGTGTAATTCGAAAATCAATAATAAGATTAACTTTAAACCAGTCATTCATAATACGATGCAATTAAAATAGTGTAATTTTTTTATGGTCAAGTGGCAATTTAGATTGACCAGCCCGAACAACATCAGATGGGCCTAAGCCCAATCACCAGTCATCAAGTTCATACGTATTCACGAGGGGCACGTGACACCTGCAACAAACTCTCGCGCGTCCATATCCACTCGAAGAAAATCCACCAAACAAAACCAAAACACTCTTTTTTCTCCACTCCCATTTTCCGGCTTCATTATCTACATCAATATCTCACGCGCGCGCGTGCACTCCACTCTGTCTGTACCGGTTTCTTCAATATCTTCGCCATGGCAGCTGTGCTGGAAACCCTAACCGTTCCACGAGCCTCCGCTGTTCCATCGGCATATTCGGCTCCGGTGGTCGGTCCCTCCGTTTGGCCCCGCGGCTCTCTCAGATCCTCGGATTTCAGAGGCCTGAAGATCCATCTTGCGCGGCCATCAGCTCCGTTGAGCTCGAGATCGAGGCTCGATCGCCGTGGCGGCCGAATCGTCTGCGAGGCACAGGAAGCAGCTGTCGAAGGTATTTGTTTCGCTCTCTGCGTGTCTTTTCTGCTTAAATTTGTGATTTTTCGCTTTCGCTGAGTTGAGTTTATATGTTGGAAACTAATTGATCGAGCGTTGCGTGGGCTGGGATGTGATCGAGAGATGAGATGGTTGGGAAAGTCACTGAAACTAGTGATGTTTTCTTGTTCGATTGGTGATAGTATTTGTATGGTTATAAATTGGGATCGTTTCAAATTAGTTGGCGTATTTATCTTCACTTAATTGATTGAGTTATTGAAGTACTGGTTCGAAGGTCCGGGAATCTCAGTGACTGATTCGCGAGTCGATACTCTAATAGTTACCCATATCAATTTGATGACTGTGGGGTCATATTTTGTGTTTGGAGTAATGGGATTTCAGCTGAGTTTATTTTTATGCATTTCTTGTAATATTCTTAAGGATAATATTGAGATGCTTCAGTCACTTGTGCAATATTAACCTGTCAAGGCTATTCCGAAAAATCGTGTCTCAGATGCTGCTTGCTGCAAGGAATCTCATTTATTTCTTTTATGGGAATATATTCTCCGACAGTAGACAAAGTTCCTTATTAACAAGATGAAGTCTATCTTAAATGAAGGGATAGTTTTATTGAAATGTCTTGGTTCTTAATTTTATGTTTGAAATTCTGTTTTTTCCATGTCTATCTATTCAATATCAATTGCATTTATTTCTTTTATGACATCCCCCAGTGAACAATATTCCTTATCACAAGGTGATTCAATTATTATGTAATAAGGTGTCTTTGTTGGAATCTTGGACCAAGTCACCGTGTGTCCTTCAAGACTCCCACTTCACTCTTTTGAATGACAAATCCAGTGCACTTAACACCACGGATTTGAAATCCCTAACCACAAATTCATCGAGTTTGTTTAGATAGCACCGCTGTATGCTAGATTTGATCAATGCTGTTGTAATAATTCTGGAGGATGTCAAATCCATCTTCAGATCATTTCATTTGAATTCCTTCCCTCAATTCTTTTCGTAAACTCTAAGTATTGGTATCCCAAGGCAACACGATACCTTTCATTTTTCTTCGGAAGGTCTTGAACCCTTAGTGTTGTTTGTCCACATAAACGAATTATTTGGTTTTCTCATAGCAGGTGCCTACACCTGATCGTTCTTACCTTAATATTTGCTACCAACACTTTACCGAGTAGTTATGTAATATTGTTTGTAATTTCTTGCTAGCTGCCGCTTGTCGTGGATGTTAATATAAACGTGACGTAGAATATATTTCTCTCTATCTAAATGGCAAATCAGTAAATGCAGTTTGTGCTTTTCAAATTCCATTAGGTGAATTTTTGCAATTCAAAACATCTTGCAAACAGTTTCCAACTTTCTATAGTTCTATTCCTTGTATATATATTTCTTTTTCCCTCTGTGTCTGCATTTGTATTTCTATTGTATAAGTTGTGACCTTTCCACATTATTCGCTTGGAAAAATTCCAGTGCCTGCCGTTACAGATTCCTCCTGGCAGTCCAATGTGCTCCAGTCTGATTCTCCAGTTTTGGTCGAATTTTGGGCACCTTGGTGCGGGCCATGCCGCATGATCCACCCAGTTATCGACAAACTGGCCAAGCAATATGCTGGGAAACTCAAATGCTACAAGGTTAACACAGACGAGAGCCCCTCGATTGCTACCCAGTATGGAGTCCGAAGTATCCCTACCGTTATAATATTTAGAAATGGTGAGAAGAAAGAAGCAGTCATTGGTGCAGTTCCAGAGTCTACGCTACTAACTTGCATTGAAAAGTTCTTGTGAACAAAAGGCAAGTGTATACATTATTATTATTTTTTTTAGCATGCGCAGAAATTATTCTGATTAAAACCTTATAACCTCATGTACAGTTTCATGCATTGTGTCTAATGTTTTATTCAAAATCTTATAGTCTTCAAGTTATCTCCACTTCTCCTCTTCTCCTTTAGGACTCTTAAAATCTTTTGTATATTTAAGAGTGTTGTGCTCTGTAACATCTGAGAATTAAATAATAATAATAATAACATGATTTTACTGCTCTCTAAATTCCCCTTGGTGGCCACTGCTGGTCGTTCGTTCCGTTGGCGTACATATAAAATCCGATTTCTTCTCGAACCAGCCATCTCACTCCCCAGATGATTGGAAAAAAAAAATCTGGAAATTACGGATTTGAGAAATTTTGGGGCGTAGATTTAAACTGATTGGCTTTGTGCGAGGATGATAAGAATTTTTATACTTGGTCTCAGATTTTCACTTTCATGTGTTAAACAAAACAGAGTGAAGGTGTGTGTGTGTGTGTAACTTTAGGGGTTGTTATATTTGGCTTGGGCTCAGAGGAAGGTGAAAACTTTGGGTTAGTGGAATATTTTGTGGTGTTGGGCTGCTTGGTAGGTTGATGTTGGGCCAAGGAAAAGAGTGAAATAAATTTGGGCCAGAAGACTTGTGGGTTTGGGCGGATACTGAGTGAGTTTAGGCTTGAAATTTGTAGAGTTGGGCTGGGCAGTGTTCCTCACTTCTTAACCTTAATTCTCTATCCGTTAAGAGCCTAATTCATCCTTTCTGCCCAAATTCTGAGGCTTAAACTCTAGTCATCGAGTTGAAAATATTAATTTAATTGAAGTAATTTGGGAATTTATACTTCTCTAAATTTACTATTAGTGTATTTATGTTAGATACTCTATTGTGTAGATACCGAGAATGGGTGCTTGAAATATTTATTGCAGACCATTCATTCATGTACTTTTGATCGAGGTGGGGTTTATTTTTCAAAATTAAATTATCTGCATGTCCCGAATGAATGTTACATCTTTCCTGTCAAATTATTTGTATGTGATTCTCCACGCGCAGTTCATGTAACCTTGGGTTCGAAATTTCATGTAGCCTTGGGGCTCAACATTTATATACGGCCGAGTACTCTGTGAATTAATTTTCACGTAAAACATGTTGGAGATGCATCTAACATAAAATTTTCATTCGTTGATAATTATGTGATATTTATGCGTGACATGTACTACCTCACTAAGCATTTTTGGCTAACCCCATGTTTTCTCAAAAAATTACTTTCAGGTTGATGGAGCTGGTTGTGACATGCTGGGAAAGTAGTAAATATTATGTGATGTTAAGTTGATTTTTATTTCGTTAGGGTTTCCTGTTTGTAACAATTTATTTTCGTTTGAACTATGTTAGCTTTGATTTTGGGAGTGTCACAACGAAATATATTTCGTGGGATGCGGCGATTGTTATTAGTAAGTTTGAAAGATCATGTAGCTGTTGCGACTCGTACAAACTTTATCTCAAATGCTTCCGCAAGTTATTATTCTCAAATGCCAAATTCTATAAAAGGTTCATGTTCCCCATGCCTTTAGGTATGTTATTATTGCTGCCCCAGGTTTGTAGTATTAATGAAAAACCTTTGCTTAACTACATAAATTGCAAAACCACCCTCGAGCTTTGTTTCTGTTTATGTTCTGCACCGAAAGTTAGTTGACTTGGCTCTAACTCTCTCAAGTGAGTATGCCTTGACTTTTCGACAACGAACGTGACATATAGTTCTCAACTTGACACACTGAACCAATGGTGGAAAAGAATACATGGTCCTACATGCAGTTGTTTTTACCATTAGATCAACTAACACACGCTGATCCAACAACAAAAATTCAGTAACTGCACTAAAACCGTGTGTAGGTTGAAATACACTGGGCTGAATGTTCAATAATTGCCATATATTAATGCGGCATCCCCATCTAGAAAAGAAAGTTTTTGTAATTGATGAAGTATGCAATTCGAACATAACAGGAGCATGGCTCAACTCCACTCGTATATAACAAACCCAAAATCATATATGAACTTTTCGCCAACACAATTTGTGTGTCCATGAACATGCTTAGTTTGGTTGTTCGTCTGGAAAACTACAGAAGAAAAAAGAGTTGTTAGCGAAAGAGCTCGGCCAGCTCGTTTAATAGATGACCTCACTTAGTTGTTCAAGCACCGCTCGACTGAATAAATGAACTAGCCGAATCGAGTTGTGCTCTAACTCTAGATTTTTTCCTAATAGTTATGAGCTTGACTTTAAACAAAGTAACATAGTTCTCAACTTGACACAACATATATCCTTTTACCGTGTGAAATCCTATCTTAATATGATTCCACAACCAAAAGCAAATAACAGACAAAAATATAATGGAAATCAAAGCTTGTCGTCAAATATATAAGGGACAAAGGCTATCACCCAATGTCATATAAATTTAACTTTAGTAACAAAATCAATAAAAATCAATAATAATGGTGTAACATTTTCATTGAGTTCCATAATTTCTATAAACATAAAACATGTGATGTCATGGCCTACCAAAATTTCTGATCAAACCAAAATCAAATTGATTAGCATTTGTTCAAATTCTGAGCCGAAATTTAAACAGTACGTCAATTTTATTTTGACAACAAACACCAGCGATTCTCAATAACTAAAAACTAATTTTCTACCCATTCTATATCACAATATCATAGTGTTTGTTATCTATTGATTAAATCTACCTAATAGTGAACTTATGTTAGGTGTGAGGTTGGTAATTGTTTTCAACTTTTCATGTATACTTTAAGGTGTCTTATCTCGAACAAAAGTGAAAAACTTTACCTGAATTTATTCACTTTTTATATTCAAGAAACGCGATGCATGTATGTAGGCTGTAGCTATTTAAACCAAAAAAAAAGTAACAGGAAAAAAAGTAATTATTTGAAAAAAAAAAAAACTTAAGTAAATGAAATCAGAAAAAGTAGGATTTTGGCTTTAAAAAATGAAAAATTATTATATAGTAACACGACTCCTCTGCCTATTCGGCTATTCCAATGCAGTCGCAATATATGTCCACAATTAGTTTATCCACTCATTCCATATCTTCTTCTTCCCCCTTCACTCTCAACTGTCGTCGCGGCTTTAATTCTCTCTCTAGAAAGTTTCAGGACTGAAGCTTGCCCGTTTTCTCTTTATCTCTCTAGGTTTCTCTCTCGTTGGTTCAGGCAGGTGCGTTACCTTGCTCCATTTGTCTGGATTTCTGTATTTTATACGTTAATTTTTGTTCTGAATTTTCTTATTATTTTTCCTTTTTTTGTTTTTGTTTTTGACGTGTCTGATTTGATGCCTGTGCACGGCTTTTTTGATCTCCGTCGTTGCATCTTTGAACGGAAAGTTTTGATTTTGATGATATGATGATTCCTGCTAACTCATGTTTTGGTTTGTGTCCTTTCTCCATTGGTATTTTTGCATTTTCTTTGTCTGGGTTTGCATTGAAGATGTGTGAAGGCTATCTGTTTGTTGTTTGTTCTAAAAAAACATACATGATTGTGACAAGTTGTTTATTATGAAATTATTGATGGTGCTGGACCTGCCTCTGTTTTATTATATTTGAAAGTGACCCGGTGCATATTAGAGCCACCAACTATGATTAACCTGTCATTTAGTGATAAAAAGGAACTCTCCCACTCTTTAGTGAAACACACAGCCTGTAAAATTGACATTTTTCCTTCTTCCACTTGTTATATCATATCATTAACCTGCAATAATTATCTGTTGACAAATCTTCAATACCACCTAGCTTTTTACTACATCTTTTGTTATTTCTTATCAACTTTTTTTGGCTTGTGTTTGGTTCCTTGTTGATTATGTGATCTTTATACGTTAATTTTTGTTCTGAATTTTATGTGATCTTTATACGTCAATTGGTATTCAATCAGAACTTTTAGAGACTTCTGAATAGTTTACATGTATTCAATTGAGACTTTTAAAGACTTTTAAAAAGCCATTAAAAGTCTCAAGGTATTCAATTAAAACTTTTTGAGAGTCTGTATAAGTCACCCTGTATTCAAAATATGAAGACTTTATGAGACTTTTTAAATTGTGAGACGTTTAGAGACTTTTCTAACAAAATCACAAAGAGAAAGTCCCAACATAAATTTCATCAATATTGGTGACATTTTGCTGGACTTATGTAACTCTCTTCACGCTCCCTTTCTTTTTTCTTTCTAACACGACTTTGTATTTCATATCACTTTCATGCTCTATTATTTTACTCATTTATTTTGATACCTTGTATAATTTTTATTTTCATTACGTATATTTAACGTGATCTTTATTTTATATATTTTTTATTATGGTATGTATACCTTTATTCTTTCATTTTGTTATCTTGTGAATTTGATTTTTCAAAGGTTAAATGCTCCCATAGTTAGCACTTGCAAATAATTTATTTATTCTCTCTTTTTATTTGTTAATGTTTATTTTTTATTTTCTAATAGCTTATTTGTTGATATTGAATCATTTTTAATATTATTGATAATTTTATAACATACAATTACTGTTTTTTGACAATGTTTGTATCTTCTATAGTTCGAGTCGTTGCAGCTCGGATTGATTTGCTCGTTTAATAAATCTGAAATCTTAAACAATTTGTTAGTGAATAACTCATTTGACATAACAATGAGTTGATTCATAAATTTTTAGAGGATTAATATATAAAATATTTTTTTTTCATTTATTCTTCTTGATATTAGTTATTATGTTAGGTTTATTAATGTTTCATTCAAACATAATATTATAACTACAAGTATATAAAAGTCTTAATAAGTTTTAAAAAGTCCATTATGAAAGTTTTAAAAAGTCACCAATGAAACTTATCTTAAAGTCTCAACAAGTCCACCAAAGTCATAAAAGTTTTACAAAGTTTACAAAAATCACCAAATTTAAAAAGTTTTAAAAAGTCCTTAAGAATCTCAATTGAATACAACCCCCTTAATTGAATACCCTGAGACTTTTAAAGACTTTTTAAAAGTCTTTAAAAGTCTCAATTGAATACATGTAAACTTTTCAGAAGTCTTTAAAAGTTCTAATTGAAAACACAAGAATTCTGAAAGTCTTAAAAAGTCTTTAAAAGTTGAAATTGAATACACCTCCCTTAAATTTGAGTTTTGATTGGTTTTTTTTTTTTTTTTTTANAACAATCACCCTTAATGATCTATTACACACAAGTGGCAAGATTATCTGGACCGTTGGATTTAGGGATTAAATCCCAACCACTCATCCCACACCTTATATACTCTCTTGCCCTAATCAGATGACTCACCTCACTTCTCTCCCTCTGCTGCTGCGATACTCTCTCTCTCTGAGAGAAAAATCCCGATCTATCTCCCTCTCATATTCTGTTCTTCTTCGTGACATTTAGAGTGTGTAAGAGCTGATAGTCGCCGTGATTTCCGTCGGAGTGCCGCCGTCTTGCCGCCTCCTAGCTTCCCTTCGCCGGTTCAAGCCCTTGCGGGGTGCTTTACGGCGAGCTTCTTTGTGAAGGAGAGAGGCTCTGCGGGGAACGAGCCGATGAACCGGGGCTGCCGGTCTTGACCACCACCGCGCGACTTACAGAGGGTCAATCGTTCGGTCAAAAGGGAATTTTCGTTCCTTCTCTTTTATTTTCAGCACTTTAACTCGTATTTTTCCCGTTTGTTATTGCTGTCTGTCCTTTAAGTCTTCCTGTGTGCACTGATTTCAGGTTGAACGGGGAAGAAAAACGGGCTGAAAGAAGTGCTTTGAACCAAAAGAGGGCTGTCCGGGAGGCCTGTGACACGAAGCTTCCGCTGCCAATGAAACATCTCCATTAAGTTATAGTTCCATTTTTCCTATAGAATCACAATTGGAAGAACATGAATACAAAACTTAATTGAAACAAACTAATCAATCTTTTCAGAATGCTTCATAATGCTTTTCACTTTACAAAGCATTTTGTTGCCTGTGTTTTCTTTTAAAACAAATCATTGTTTTTGTTTGAAAATGTTTGCCACAAAAAATTTATTAACAACTTAATTATCTAATATCTTCAATCTGAAAATTTTCCCCTTATGTGTTACCATTTGTTTATGATTGTCGTAATGGAGTTAAGTGTGCCCAAATACGAAAAATGAGAGTATATTATGGTTATATGGTTATATGGGTTATTGATGAGATATAGTTATTGGCTTCACCATATCATATATGATATAAATTTCATTCAATTGCTCGTTCTTGTCAGCATAATGCAGCTTAATATGCCATGTTACACATAATGCTTACTTTTGGCAGACTTGTGTTTTTATCGTCCAAACAAAGTTTAGGAGCAGGCTCATATACACTTCTTGTTTTAAAAGCATTTTTTTTTTTTAAAAAATCACATGCCTGACTCTTAAGAAAGGCACCAAGCATGAATATGAGTAGTACATGATTGATGAGAATAAACTTCTTGTTCAGTCAAATATGTTTTGTATCCTTTTTCAAGGTGGTTCTCATATTACGTGTGTGTTGTATTTCTGATACCAAAAGATATGGGTGCCTTCAACGGCATTGCATTTGTTGTTGGAGTTTGGGATTTTTATGGTAAATATTTGGTTGAAGCACTAATAACTTTCCTTTTTTTTTTTTTTCCATTTTGAAGGTAGTCTTTTATAATGAACGCTTTCTAGATGTTGTGAGTTGTGACACTCATTTCGTACTTTTGGATGGGAAACAATGACGGTGAACAATCATTTTGGTTAAAGCTGAAGAGGTATTTGCTAAATTAGCTTATGTAAAGATACTTTTCTTGCTACTGTCCAAAGGTTGCTTCTTTGTGATGTTTGGTTGAACATGAGATATGGTTATAATGTCGGTTATATATGAACAGTACTGAAAAAGCAACATTGTTTATAAAATGTCTTCAAACCATTTTGATTAAATTTGGGGAAGTACTTAATTAACTTATGCAAAAATACTTCTCTAGCTATTTTACGAAAGGTTTTTTTATTAGATACTTGGTTGAACATGAAAGGGTGTTACTATGATGCCAGTGTCAGGCCACACTAAAAGAAAAACATTTATTGACTAACATATATTTAAGATTCATACGCGATTATTAGTTATGCCTTTCTGATATTAACTTTACACCATGTGGGTTTACGTGATACTAAAAATAAAAGAGCAAAGATGATTAACTAAAAACATCAATTATAAGTTGCTTTAGTGATTAGGTTGGTAATGCAAAAAATGATACTAAAAATAAAAAGAGCAAAGATGATTAACTAAAAACATCAATTATAAGTTGCTTTAGTGATTAGGTTGGTAATGCAAAAAATTTACTCGGTATCTACTATGAACTATGATTGAACATGATATTATTGGCAAATTTGCTCGGTATATATATAATTGTTATGACAACAAATTCACATGAATTATGCTTAAGTTCTTACTTTCACTCTCGTGTTATCCAACTTTCTTTTATTGAGTTAATACATAGTGCAGCCCAAAATTTTCCATTTAAGCCCCCAAGAATTTAAAATTTTTCATCATTTTGCAAGCCTTCAAGTGCATTTAAGAGAAAGAATTGGGGTGTTAAAGCAAATAATTATGAAACATGCAGCTTCTCTTTCTTGATTTCCGTAGACGCCAATTAAACTAATTTCTCACATGGTAAAAATTTTCTATCACATGGTAAGCAACATAATCTGATTTCACGTAGATTAGACTGCGAAAAAATAGGAAATTTGATTGGCATCATCTTTTTGATATTTTCGGTCATATCCACCAGTCGAATAATTATTTTCGGATAAATATACTACAGGACATGTACCGCAAACATACTCTATAAACGTTAAAACAACATAATTAATAAACAATATATATACAAAAAATATACAATATATATACTTAGGATCGTACCGATCCTTATGATTTTCAATTTCAATCTTTCTAGCCCATGCAAAAAAAAAAAATTCAATAATTCGAAAAAATATATAACATATATACTTAGGACCATGTCGATCCTTAAGATTTTCAATTCAACTTTTTCGTACTACATATACCTGCAACTATACAACAACCAAAAAAGTACATATATACAGACTTGTCATCCATTAAAATAAAACCTAACCACCAAATTCTTCGATGGCCTTCTTGATAACCTTGCCGCCCTTGACCACTTTAATGAAGACGAGACCCCCTCGACGGCATGAATTCTCCGATCACGATGAAGATGACTCCGCCTCCTTCGCCATCCTCGTCATCGATCGCCCTCCCCCACCCACCTTCGACGCCCAGGTCACGATCGCTGCCCGAGCAGTCAAACAGGGACGCAAAATTACGACACTGGAAAAAGAAAAGCGACGTTAGTGATTTGCAAAACGCGCGCAAAATTTCGGCGGAGGCGAGGACAAGCGAAGGGCGGCGAGTTCCTTGAGCTTCCGGTTGTGGGTGGCGTGTGAAGTTTGGACGTCGTCAAAAATTCGAGCGATTTTTAGCAACAATTTCTGGTAGAGGGGGGATTGAGATTTTGAGAAGGGGGAAAAGGGTTTTTGGTACCGGAATACTTGAGAGAGAGGGAGATAGAGGTGCATACGTTTGCAATTAAATATACAAAATTTGGAACGTTTGCTGATGTTTTTTATTGACTCGTATGAGCGCGTGGGATCATGGTAGGGTAGGCGTAATTATCTCAAATGATAATGATAAATAAATAAATAAAACAAATTGTTTGGTCTTGAAAAAACACAATTACATTCACACCAATGGTTGTCGTTGTCTCCACACCTCCATTTCCAAATTCAAATCGATCATTCCCAACTGCCACTAGCCCTAGCCCTAGCCCTAGGTCTCCAATCCAATTTCCATGGCCAACTTCCCTCCCCTTTGGGATTATGTCGCCCTAAATTTCGTAATCACTTTATTGACGTCGACGACATCGATGCACTACCCACTGATGACAACATAACCGATGAAGTTCACCGTTGCAGAAGACTGGAGAACTACAAAGAAGCTATTCCAGGTGTTGTCAAGGTATCACAACGTTTTAAATCTGAGAGCTAATGGTGCTGACCCTCTACAACCCAATATTCAACATGAGTTTAACATTAACCAGACCTTAGCAGTCATTCAACAGACCCGAGGATGGATTTAATCATACCCTACCAGGATTGAACTATACCCTACAAGGATTTGACTAGATTGTCCAAGGATTTAACCACCCTACAAGGATTTGGCCAGACACTCCAACATGTTCAAAACATTCAAGTTGGATTTGACACACAATTGATACTATCGGTCGGAGCCTCATTGCTTGAAGAATAAATCAGACTATCACAAATTCTCAGCTCCAAGTGCATTTTCAAATCATCCCAATGTAATACTCCGATCATCCGTGGTAACCCCTTCCAAGTTTAAGGTATCCAGCTTCACAACCATTATGAAAATTTTGATGACTCATTGTGGATCTCATGCCAATCAATTTTCGAAATTCATGTTATAGGGGAGTTCAATGATGTCGACTTTTGAAATAGGTTCAAAGGCATTTATTGGTTTTACAATGATCTAAAGTTGAACATCCAAAACAATGCACCCTGCTCTACGTGCTTTAGAGGATTAGACAAACTAAAGGAGTTTTCTCAAGGAGTAGAGGTTTATTATCTTGTTTTATTTTTTTTGCTTTACATTTACTTGATTTTCTGCTTTACATATGAAAAAAGATTTGGAATATGAGGTGTAAAAGTCAGTGCTGCTTGCTAGAACTAGTAGACCGCTATTTTAAACAACACTACGCCTCATATTTCGAATTTTTTTTCAGATGGAAAGCAAAAAATCGAGTCAATGTAAAGAAGAAAAAAATAAAACAAGTTAATAAACTTTTACTCCTTGAGAAACTCGTTCAACTTGTTCAATCCTCTAAAGCATCTAGAGCGGGGTGCATTGTTTTGGATGGTCAGCTTTGGGTCATTGTAAAACCAGTAGATGTCTCTGAGTCTACTCCGAAAGTCGGCATCATTGAGCTCCCCCATAGCATGAATTTCGTTAAAATTGGTTGGCACGAAACCCATAGGGGTTATCAGAAATTTCATAGTGGTTGTCGAGCTGGAGCCCTTAAACCCTTAAAGGGGGGTTTGGCCACAGATGATCGGGGTATTGCTTTGGGATGATCTGGAAATGCACCTGGGTCTGAGAGCTTGTGCTAGTCAGATTTATTCTTCGAGCAAAGAGGCTCCAGACGGTAGCATCCAATTGTCTGCCAAATCCAACTTGAAGGTTTTGAACATGTTGGATGGTCTAGCCAAATCCTTGTAGGGTGTGGTTAAATGCTTGGACGGTCTGGCTAAATCCTTGTAGGGAACCCTTCAATAAGGGTATGATCAAATCCAGCGTCTCTTGAATGGCTGCTAGAGTCTGGTTAATGTTGTTAAATATTGGATTAAAGAGGACCAAAGAGGACCAGCACTGAGATTCTTAACGCACTGTGATACCTTAATTCATTGTCTATTGCAAATGGAGCTGGAAGAGTCATTGTTGACAATTCTCCTGGCATAGTGCTAATAATGGATTAGATCAAAATGACTCAATTAAATTTTAGGGCTTCTTCGTTTCTAGAAAAAAAAAAATATCAAACGGCGCAATGCACCTTGGTTCGCTACGGAAACAACCTCTTTGTATAATTACAAGGGTAAGGTCTACGTACAACTGATCCTCCATACCCCAACATTTTGGGAATATATTGGGTATGTTATTGTTGTGATACCTTAATTCACATTGGGCCATGACAACATCTAGAATAGCCCCTCTCTGTGGTTCTCCAATCTTCTGGGTGAGCTTCAGCGGCTATGTTGTCATTAGTGGGTAGTGCATATTGACGTCAATACCAGGGATTATGAAATATGGGGAGACATAATTCCCGAGGGGAGGGAACTTGGCCACAGAAATTGGATTGGGGACCTAGGGCATGGAAATGGAGAGTACGGAGACGACGACATCCATTTGTGTGAATATAATTGTGTTTTTTGGGCTAGGACAGGCCGAGTCCAAACAATTTGTTTTATTTATTTATTATTTGAGATAATTACGCCTACCACGATCCCACAGGCATTTATTTAAATTTTTACGAGTCAATAAAAAACATTAGCAAATGTGTCAAATTTTGTATTTTTAATTGCAAACGTATGCAACTCTCTCTCTCTCAGATATTAACAGTATTGAAAACCCTTTTCCCCCTTTTGAAAATCTCGATACCCCCTCCACCGGAAATTGTTAAAAATCCTTCGGATTTTCGACGTCCGAACTTCACACTCCACCCACAACTGGAAGCTCAAGGAACTCGCCGCCCTCCGCTTGTCCTCACCTCTGCCGAAATTCTGTGTGTTCTGCAAATCTCTAACGCCGCTTTTCAACTTCTAGCGTCGTACGTCTGCAACCGAGCGCATCATCAAATTTTGCATCGCGCATGACTTGGGCGTCAGAGGTGGGTGTGGGAGGGCGATCAATGAGGACGGTATATCGGACAACAGACACAATTGCATCTTCAAACGAGACTAACCCTGATGGCTTGCCTTAAAACTATTATTATGAGCCAGTGAAGATCACTCTTCATTATCATTAGTGGCACTCCCAGCCTGTGTCTCAATAGACAACACAATAAGACAAATGTTGCATTGGTGCTTCTGCTTTAAAATGGATATTGCACCAGACTGATAATGAAATCATTTGACTCATTTCTGGAATCAACTCCTGATATTAAGCTTACCAGTTTGTACTTGCTTTTACTAGAAATCTTTTTGTCTTTGCTTTCACGAGCTATCGATAAATCCATCTCATGATTTATTACTCGACTCCATCTTTACCACCCATATCGATATATCATTAAGCTTTATTTTAGATTTCTCCATAATATCAGACTCGAATTCCTTTCCCATACCCTTCTTCATCAAAACATTCTGATGAACTATTTTAACACCCGGACCAAACATATGCTCGAGAAAACTCCCGAAAACACATCCTCTTTGACCTTCAGCTTCATTTTCAAATTTTCTTTCTTTCTCTCTTCCCTATTCGTATGCTCTTTTCCTTTCCCCTCTCTCAATAAAGCTTCCGTCTTTTCTTCTCTACAAGCTATTTCCTCTCTTCTTCTACAATGCTTCTCTCTAACACTATTTGCTTCCTCAACCCCTTTACCAGTCGAGACAACTCTGTCCTGAAAACATTCTCGGCCAGCAAATTTGAGCATAACAAACAGCTTGTGGTCAAATAAATGACTAATCTGAGCTTGAACACAATATATTAATAAAAATACTCAAGCCTTAAAGATCCCAATTGTTCAATTAACAAGTCATAGCTTGCTAGTTGTAAATAGTTCCGTCATGTTGTAATCACGTGTAACTTCTATTTTAGTTTGTTAATGTGCTCTAATTCTTGAATTAATTATCTCATTAACTTAGTTATGTAATATTTTGGTATTTTGTTAATTGTTTTCTAGGTTGATTATTTTGTGTGCTTCATAGGGCTATATTGCATAGTGTTTTATGTTATGTCAGTTGCAAGTTGCACCTGAACTTAAACGCAAATATCGCTATTTATGTTTCTTGATTCTTGATTTCTTTATATATAAATGTTTACACGAGGCTATTGTTTATGCATATTTCACATGTTTTATATAGGTTTTATGGGTGTCGCTTGAAAGGGCTTGAAGCAGTTTGGTGTTATGTTGATTGTTGTCTTGAGATGTTTATGTTTTGCTAGAATTCAATGGTACAGACCTTGTTTATGAAATTTAGTTTTAGTGAATATGAAATTGTTAACTGGTGCGGGTAATATGATTAATGAAATGAGTTCTTGTTATTTGGTTTGGATAGTACGAATTGCATAAAGAATGGTTAGATGATTTTATGGTATTGATATTGATGCTTATTATAGTATTTGGCAATGCATATTAATGTAGGTGACACGTTATTTTACGTACAAATGAAAATACTTTCTTTTAATAGTTGCATGTCCGGACATGCCAAATTGTATACCTTGTCAACGTGATTAAAATTATTAGTATGGCGTTCAAATGTGAAAACGAGACCAATCTTCAGCATCTCACCATGATGAAACAAGTTTTTACATCCATTTTTAAATTTAAAAATCATCGAAATTTTACGAATTAGAACTTTGATACATAAAAATTGAACCGTGAACCGGTGATTTTTAGTTTTGTGCTTAAAATTTAAAATTGAACCGTGAACCGGTGATTTCCATTGAAAGTTTTGATTTTGATGATATGATGATTCCTGCTAACTCATGTTTTGGTTTGTGTCCTTTCTCCATTGGTATTTTGCATTTTCTTTGTCTGGGTTTGCATTGAAGATGTGTGAAGGCTATCTGTTTGTTGTTTGTTCTAAAAAAACATACATGATTGTGACAAGCTGTTTATTATGAAATTATTGATGGTGCTGGACCTGCCTCTGTTTTATTATATTTGAAAGTGACCCGGTGCATATTAGAGCCACCAACTATGATTAACCTGTCATTTAGTGATAAAAAGGAACTCTCCCACTCTTTAGTGAAACACACAGCCTGTAAATCTGTCGCGACTTTTGACCTGAACTCGCTGCTCGTCCCAGTAATTTTCGCGACCCGCGACTTTCGACTCGCGAGTCGCGAAAACCACTCGCGAATCGCGACATGTTTTCGCGAGTCGCGATTCAAGAATGGCCCGATTTTTGTATTCCAACTGATTTTTTAGCTTCATTCGTTCGTACGAACTCACTCCGAGTGATGAATCCTTTAACGATTGTACTAGTGCACTAACCGACTTGTGGTTGGCATTGTATATCTTATCTTCAGAATGAGGAACCGACTTGTGGTTGCCCATTTTGCTTATGTATGCAGTCACCTGACTGTCCGAAACATTCTTTTGATATATATATTTACATTTAACGATAAAAAAAAAAATACTGTAAAATTGACATTTTTCCTTCTTCCACTTGTTATATCATATCATTAACCTGCAATAATTATCTGTTGACAAATCTTCAATACCACCTAGCTTTTTACTACATCTTTTGTTATTTCTTATCAACTTTTTTTGGCTTGTGTTTGGTTCCCTGTTGATTATGTGATCTTTAACTAACTTATAATTCTTTATTCTTGATCCACAGTATAGTATCTCCCTAGTTTTCTTTAACCAACCCAAAATATATAATCAGTCTGTGAACTTGAACATCATATCCTCTTTCTCTCTCTACAGCTTTTACATCATGGCTTTTCAGCAAAACTTCAGTGGCACAACCACGAGTTTCGGATCGAAACGCGATTTCTCACGAAAACAAACTCAGAATTCGAGCATAAAACCGGAAGAAAATCCAAACGGGTGCTTCGATTGCAACATCTGTCTCGACTCTTCACACGAGCCCGTGATCACACTCTGCGGCCATCTCTACTGCTGGCCGTGCATTTACAAATGGCTCCGTGTTCAAAATTCATCACTCGAGTCAAAAAACGAGCTTCCCAAGTGCCCCGTTTGTAAATCACACATCTCGACTTCTACACTTGTCCCACTATACGGGCCCGAAACAAAAAAAAAGCCCATCAAGTTAGATCTGACCGTACCCCACCGGCCTCCACCGGGCCTTCGGGCCTCGCAAAATTATCAAAACCCTTTTCAACCGAACAGCCGGGCTTACCAACAAAGCCCATACTTGGCCCATTCTTTCGCGGGCCCATCATCATCCGCAAGCTTCAACAGCCCGACTATGAATATGGTGGGAGAGTTGGTGTTTGCTCGGATGTTTCGAAGCCAGGACACGAATCCGTTTTCTTACCCTTATTACTCGAACTATAACAAGTCACTTAATCATGTCTCGATCTTTCTGTTCTGCTTCATCATATTTTGCCTGATCTTGTTTTAGGGGTTATGAGCTGTTTGTTCGTTTGTATAGATTTTAGATTGTGATACTGCTGAAGATCGAAGTCGATATAGGTATATAGATATACGTATATATACATATACTATATATGTATATTATCATATATGTGTATGTGGTGTAGTTTTGGCTGTAGTGATGTTACAAATCTGTGATTCCATTGTGGGATGAGGTTCTTTATACTGTTTATGGTGATCTTGTGCATTATGATGCTTCTATGTCTATTGGAACAAAAAGTTGATTATACTTTAAGGTTTGTGGCCTATTGACTTCTTTTGTTGGGTTTTGGGTTTTTTCTATAAACCAGTTTTTTCTTGTACAATTCTCAGTATTCTAGCAAAGTGCATAGGGACCAATTTTTCAACATCAAGGTAGAATTTAAATACAAGCAACGGTAATATATATATTGTTACTTAAGTTATAAATAGGATTCAATTATAAGAAAGTACACAAAATTGAAGATTCACTTGATCTATTTTGGCAGATGTGCTCAAGGAAGGCTTGATTCTAGCATTCTACACATGATTGCACCACTTTTTACTATTGAATCAAATCACACACATTTTTCATCTAACGGTGAAAGAATACTCGGCCCCTGCACACAAGTATTATTGGATCAATTCACATGCACAAAAGTTCAGTAACTGCACTAAAATCGTGTGTAAGTTGGAATATATGATGCACTAAAACCGTGTGTAAGTTGGAATATACGGTGTTGAACAGTTCAGTAACTGCACTAAAACTGTGTGTAAGTTGGAATATACGGTGTTGAATGTTCAATGATCGCCATATACTAATGCGGCATCCGCATCTATGAAAGAAACTTTTAGTAATTGAGAGAAAGTAAATTTTGTGGCTTTATTTGATTGTTTATTCTGTAATTGAAAAATAACACGTGATCTTGTTCTATGTAGGATGATGTGTTAATATTGCAATTCATTTTCGAAATTAAATGATTCGATAATCAATAAAAATACAATGTTGTGTATATAATTGTCAAAGTTTAAAAAACTTAATATTATTTGTAAAAGAAGGGAAAAGTTGTGATTTTTTTAGCTATCATCTATTTTTTAAATTATATAAAATTCTTGTAAATGAAAAAGCGTCAACCATGGAACAACGATTTTGAGGGTTGAGTTCAGTATATGAGCCCTCATCATCGTTCACTTTTCCATTCACATTGAAGAAAAAAAAATGGGTGCAAACAAGCGCCGGCCGGAGGATGAGAGCGGATCCGAACCCGACCCGGATTCAGACTCCGGCAAAGACGAGGATTCCAGAAAATCCGACGGCGGCAGAAAACGGACGAAGGGCGGGAAGAGTAAAACCAGAAGCTCGAACTCAAAACGACGACGTTCGAGGGAAAGCGACTCCTATTCATCGTCCTCGTCCGAGTACGAATCGGATTCGAGCTCCGAGTCGGAATTTTCGGACTCGGAGGAAGAGAGGAGGCGACGGAGGAGAGAGAGGAGGCGGAGGGAGGAGAAGAAGGAGAAGCGGAGGAGAGAGAAGGAGAGGTCTAGAAAGAGGAAGAGGAAGGAGGACGACAGGAAAAAGAAGAAGAAGAAAGATAAGAAGGAGAAGGATAAAGGGCAGAAAGGCGCTGTCACGAACTCATGGGGCAAATATGGGATTATCAGGGAAACTGATATGTGGTATGTGTTTTCTGATTTTTGTTTTTCAAGTATTTGGGAATTGGGTTTTGTGTTTTGTTGTGATGATTAAGTTAATTTGAGCAAGAATTGGGATATTTTTCTGCTTTGCTTGTTGTTTTTATCAATTGCTCTGTTTGGGTTTGTGTGGATTCTATGTGTTCGAATTTTCGATGCTTGTATTTGCTGATATGTGGTATNGGAATTGGGTTTTGTGTTTTGTTGGCATTATCAAAGGAAGTTCAGTTAGCATTGGGAGTTTTGCTGCTTTGCTTGTTTTTGTTATCCAGTGTTGTGTTTGTATTAGGGTGGATTGATTCTATGTTTAGCTTTCGATGCCTGCATTTGCTGCAATGTGCAGCTATGGTTACATCTGTGGTGAGAATAAGACACCTTTGGGAGACTGCAAAATTGGTGTGAGGTTGATATTTAAAGGTTCGGTTGGGGTGGGATTTGATATCAGGTTGCGAACACTTTTGGCTTAGGAAAGTTGGTAGTATTTTGAAATAGAAGCTGAAAATTGGTGAGATTATTTGGTTGAAAAGTTGCAAAGGTGTTATCTTTGTTGTGCAAAAGTTTGTTATTACCATCGGATTTATAATTCAGAATATATGGAAAAGAGTCGGAAGCTCAAGCTGTCATTGCAGGATTAAAGAATCGTTTTTTTGTTTTTTTGCATCTATTGTAGGGTTTGCAATCACTCCCATTTGGTGTTTGTAGAGATATTTCGTGAATACCTGTGTAATAAAGTCTTCTATGATTTTCATTGTTATAGAAACTGTTTCCAGGTCTTATTGCCTAATGAAAGCAATCCAGTGGCACAGAAGAAACTCACATTCCGATCGTAAATGGATAAAATGATTCATACTTTTTAATCCCCTCAATTCCGTACATATATAAGTTTTACATATAACTTCATATGTAATGAAGCTCCATAACTAAGCAATACAACAACAACAACATACCCAGTATATTCCCAACAGGTTGGGGTCTGGGGGGTCAGTTGTACTCAGACATTACCTTTGTAATTATACAAGGAGGTTGTTTCTGTAGCGACCCAAGGTGCATTGCGCCGTTTAATATATATTTTTTTTCTAGAAACTTCAGTAATAGAAGAAGCACTAGAATTTAATTGAGCCATTTTGATCTAGTCCATTATTAGCACTATGCCAGGAGAATTGTCAATATTTTGATTTAGCTCCATAACTAAGCAATAGTCCGATGAAATAGTTGGGCATTTGTCATAATTCTATGTTATCCTAAATTTTGGTGACTTTTGTTATTTAGCTGAAATTTTTTCCATCTTTTCCCTCGTTATTCTTCTCCGAAATCTTGAACTTTTCACTCTGGATATTATACCAGACGTTAATAGGAAATGATAAGTGACAGTTCTAGTAGTGGCTCCATCTATAGTTCTGCGCTTGTGGAGCATTGACCTTCAGAAGAAATAGTAATGAAACTTTCATAATGGAATTATAAGGTTTACCTATCTAGACTTTGGCCATTCTCATATTACTGTGGTTTCGTGGCTGCTTCTAGTTGCCATCAAGTGTTGGAATTATTTTCTGTTATAAATAGCCTTGAGAGACAATGGCTGAACAGTAATGCTATGATGTTGGTAGAATAGGCTAACTTACTTGGTCATTTTTGGGGTCTGTAATCTTTCATCACATTCTAAATGCAGGATCTATACCTGTCAAACATTCTGCTTCCTCCTGCCTTTTTTTTTCCCCCTTCTTGTTCCTTTGGATTTTTTATATAAGTGTTCTGTGATGTTTCTTGACTAGTTTGTTTGATTACCTGTCTGTTATGCAGGAATAAACGACCCGAGTTTACCGCCTGGCTAGCAGAAATTAAAAAGGTAACCATTTTGAAGGATTTGATTCTACTTATTTTCATGTTATGCTCATGTCACTTTCCAACTGCATTTTACTTAAAATGATTTAATTAATTAAAATTTACCCTTCTTTTGGCTCGTGTATGCTTTACTTTTGGATACTGATGTTAAAAATGTTACTTCACAAGTGTCGTTTCTTTTATTTTCTTTACCTTTTGGTGTATGTTAAACAGCATGTATGATTAATGATAAACTGCTGTCAGTTGATTTCAAATTGTTTGAAGATTGTGCTCCGGCTGAACAATTTGATTTTCCTTGAGCAGGTGAACCTGGAGAGTCTGCCTAACTGGGAAGAGAAGCAGCTTTTCAAAGAGTATGTTTACTTGATCTACGTATGGAAATTCAATATTGGGACCCTGCTTAAAACATAATTCGTCTGTTTGGCTTCTTTTCATGTTCTTATACACAAATGACGGATATAAATTTTGCAGTTTCATGGAAGATCATAACACGGCTACCTTCCCATCTAAAAAGTAAGCCCTCTAATTATTACCTGCTGTTTTTCTTTCTTCACTTTCTGATGGTTGCGAATCTTCTCTTTCTCCATGGCTGCAGATATTACAACCTTGATGCTTATTACCAGCGTAAAATGGAAAAAGAAATGAAAAAGGGCTACACCAAAGCAGTGGAGTCTGAACGTACTGTATTTAATGATGAAGAACAGCGAAGGTAAATTTGTTTCTTTCCATTGAGTGGCATTCCCCTGGTCATTATTGATTTTTTATGCTATAGATTCCGAAACTTGAGTCCTTTTCCAACTTAAATCTTTTTCTACTAGAAATAAGCGAAGTTTTCATTTAGGTTTATTACCACACCTTTTTTCCAACTAAAAGGAGCATGGCCTTATTGTTTAACTAAAGTAGCAGTTTATTAACTATTTGTTGTGCCTGTAAAATAGGCTCGAACTACAACAAGAGCGCGAGAGACGAAAACAGCAAGAAGTGGAGGATTTGAAGCGTTCCATGCAGAGTGGAATGGTATATATAAACTCCTCAACATCGAATCTTTTTGTCCATATTAATAAAAAGGATTTTTTGGTAATATCTCTTGCGTAAAATATGTTTGTCTTTTGGCTGTTCCAGGCACAGGCAATGAAGGAACAAGCTCAACTCCGGGAAGAGATGGCTTACCAGTACAAGATCGGGAACTTTGAGGTGAGAAGGCATCAAACCTTTGAAAAAAACTATCGATTAGGGAAATATTAATATTTTAATCTGTTCTTTTTTTTTTTCTGACAAACAATTTTCTGTCTGATTCATAGGCGGCAGCTGCTATTCAGAAGAGGTTGGACCCGGACGTTGCTATGTAGGAGTTTCTGCAGTATAAAGTTTACATAAGCATAAGCTCTACTCAGTTTGGTTAAAAGGGACTGGCTTTGTTACTAATATGTCACTTTGGGAGATAGTTTCTTAACTGCTTCTTTGTCGTGTATTTGTTTATTAAACTTAAAACAGACTTCTACGAAGATATAAAACATGAATTTGGTGCTCGTGACACTTTTAAGCTTTGCTCAATAACGGTTTGAGCTCAAGCTCGAGTATTAAGAGCTCGAGCCACGCTCATTTTGTTTACACCTATTCATGTATTCTTGATTTTTTTGTATGGTATAATCCACCAATATTGAAAATTAGTGAAATGAAAACAAAAAATTAGTGAACCTTGTATCTTGTCATATACATTGAACAAAACATGCCAATAATATATACATTGAAGCTTAAATTGAAGACAAAATTAGTGGAGAATTTTTCAATCAATTTTTTTGGTAATTGCTGGTATATGAGCAGAGCTGCTGCAACAAGGGTGGGTACAAATGCCACTAAAACAGTAAAACTTGAGCAAAACTGGACATTACACTTGAGAGTTTATGAATCATCATCAAGTAACATACCCGATATTTTCATTGTGTCACAATTGCACGAAACATAAGCAAGTCAAAATAGTTACTATAGGAAAAGTCGGTCATCGAATGCAGACATCAACACTTACTACATAATAAAATTTCAAGCCAATCACTCAACAAACTCAAACGATGAAATTCGAGGAACATTCAACCATCAATAGTGGAAGACAAGCTGAGATGCATTGGATCCTCTCTCACACAATGAAATTTTCTCCACCACTTGTAATCTCGTTTCCCAATCAATATATAAAGGTGAGATAAATGTTTCCATCCTCTCCAATACTCGAGAATTCCTCAAAAGATATCTTACCATGTCAAATTCATGCTCACTGAAGTACAATGACTTAATTGTTATTGTTCTTAGACATGATAATAAGCATTTAGGCACTTGTTCGGACTCCGGAAACAAATATCCCTCTTCAAAATCAAACGGCCAACAACACTAAAAGGAGCATAACAAAATGAGTTAAAAACAAAAGAAGCTAGCTATTGTTGTAAGAAAACTGAGAAACGGCTAAAGGCAAATTTAATTGCATCAACGATAAACTCAACTTACAATAAGGACTTGAAGATTATCAGCAACTTCAAGGAACTTTACAAGCAAACTCCACTCGAAGTTGAATCGGAGTTCAAGTTTGGTTAAATTATCAAACTTTACATTTGAACAAGCAAGTCCTCTACGAACAAACTGAAAAAATTAAAACCACATTATGCATATATATAACAAGCCGAAAACTATTCACACGAGGACTAAGAGATTGAAGAATCAAAACATACCTTTTCAAATACCCCACGTGATATCTTTAGGCACTTTACACAAGACACAGAATGAAGAAACTCCACCACCGTGGAATTGCAATTCGTTTCGAGATTTGAGAAGCAATAATATTTTAAGCTGATGTCCGCCTCAACTAAGGAGTTCATGGTTATAGGAATTTTTATACACTCAAAGTCATAGCCATCCACTTGGAGATACTTAAGGGCCGGGGAATTTATTATCACCCTATATTCAACGTTACTATCAAAAGGGATGTCAGGAATGAGCTGAAGCATCTTTATCGTGGGTGATGATATGTTTATGCAGCCCACATAATCATCTTTCTCCACAAATTCGAATTCCATAATCAACTCCTCGAGTGACGGGCAGCCAGAAAGAAAGTGAGGAAGCGCATCATCATTCTCACACACAGCATTAGAAATATGAAACTTCTTGAGGCTAGGCAGAGAGACATTGTCCATAGCAGAGAGTGACACTCTGCTAAAACCAAGCTTCAAGTCGACAATGGTTTTGCTCATGAAGAGGGATTGGGGGATTGCATCGGATTTAAGTTGAAGATAAAGATTTCGAATATTACGGTCGATGGCGGTTGTAATCAATGTCTCCAGTTGATACTCGTTGCAGTTGACGTAATCGAGTTTTAAAGTATCCATTCTTTTTGCCTTGTGCCGCGATATAACACTGTGGATGATGTCCGAGGCTCGTGTTTCTTCCCTGAATTTTAGTCCACTGAAGCCCAAACAGGGTACATGGGCCCATAGAAACCTCCATCTTTTTCCAAGAACACTTGTCGCCATTGAATGCTTAGTCGGGAGGAAAGAGAGAATGTGGCATACAACGTCGACTGGCAAGCTGCTCAGCCTATCGATCGAAGCCATGTTTTGCTCTCCATCCAAAAGCTTTCGGCGCTTTCCACTTGGTTGTTGTCTGGTTTCCTCCATGTAAATTCTGACAAAGGGCAACCGATTTTCACAATTTCAAACCAAGGCAGTAGCATTCAGAGGGTACCAGGATTCAGATTATTGTCTGTCTGATGGGTAGTTTAATTCTAAGCCTAATGTGAAGAAGTTGATGAGACATATCATCTCCATATATTTTCTCTTGGGAATTTCCGCAAACGGGTGGCTGGCAAATCATTCCAACAAAATGTGTTGTTTAAAAGGCTTTATTTTCATGTGTGTATGTGTACAGATATATAAGAACAAAAAACGAAAACGAATAATCACAAAGCGGCGGAGATAAAATATAGCGGCCTACCTGTGAACTCTTCTCGCCCTCAATTTAGTTGTATTGTATACCACTGTCGAATACTTAAAGGTTTTCTTTAGGGTCTGTGTTGAATACACCACTGGTGCATCAATTTAAAGGTGTATTGTATTTATTTGAGACTTCAAATAATATCTTAAAAACTTTTTAAGGGATGAAAATTTAAAATATTTTTTTCAGATTTTATGGAAACTCGTAGATTTGAGATTTTAAGCAAGAATTGAATTCAAAACATAAACTTAATTAGGCAATATTGTAGCCCATGAAAATGTGAACAAAACAAGAGTTCACCTATGAGTCGACGGAATAACCGGTTGAAGTTTCGAACTCGACGACATGCATTATACATAAATCTATAAATTACGTAAGCTTATCGTAGGATTTTTTAGAGATATAATTGTAGATCGTAAGATACCGTTATATTCATCAAGAAAATAGTGTACTAAGATATTTTTAATGATACTGCATCCGACATATCTCAATTGACATTCCGAAAAACTTCAATGTTATATTTCATGCTAAAAGCTTTGTAGCATGAACTTAGTTATAATGTTATAGTTCGTGCTAAAAGCTTTGTAGCATGAACTTAATTATTTTAGGGTCTTGTTTGAACTTTTGCATATAGATGTAAAATTAGAAAAATATACATCTTTTATATATTTTTAGCTTGTTAAATGAACTAACTAGTTTGTTTGGTTAAAAAAAACTTATTTGATTAGAGTTTTGGTAAAAAAAAAAAAATGCTATTTTTTGAAAAACTCAATAGATGATAGTCAGAAATGAGAGTTTTTGTAAAATAACATGTCAACATAAAATTTCTAAAATAATCGTAAACATAATTATTTAAACAACTATTTACAAACCGTTAGAAAAGCTCAAAAGAGGAGCTTGAAATGAAGTTCGATAGAGAAGCGTTTGAAATGAGAACTTAGAATAACATATCTAACATAAAATTTCTAGAATAATCATACACACAATTATTTATCAAACAACTATTTACAAAGCATTAATATAATCTGCCAGTCAACTCAGCAATTACAATTCATTCTCTAAAATAATCAGTTATACGCTATAAGTTATTAATCATACAACAACAATATACTTTCAAGTCGTCCAATTCATTGCTAAATCTTGATTTTTCTCTCATATTTGACCTCGTCGTGGAGCAATCGAGTGGCACGATGCGTAATTACATCGATATAAGAATGTTTTTAAAATAGTGAATTTTCATAATAGCTTGTCAATATAAAATTATCACAATAACTATACAAATTGTTATTTAGCAAATTGTTATTTACAAACTGCTGGTAAACTCAATTATTACAATTCGGTATCAGTTATCCGCTGATACAACCTACTATCTGTTATCCGCAATTAGCTAATACCCAAACAATGTCTATATATTTTCAAGTAATCTGATTCACTGCTTAATCCTGAATTTTCTGTCAGATTTGAGTCCGCCATGGAGCAGTCGAGAGACACGATGCCTGTTCCATCTACACGAGACCTCTCATTTAGTCATGTATCTCGAGACATCTCAGCCTGGGAGAATCTATCTTCATCATGTACGTGCACTTCCTTCTCATACGCTTGATGGAAAAAAATCTCCTTGCGTCGAGCGCGAGTTTTCCAAGCACGGGCCTAGAGGACAGGTGGAGGAACTTCACACGCCAAACGGTCTCCAAACTGTCGAGCGTCAGGTCCTCGAGCGCAGGACACCCGACAAGCAGGCGAGGTAGAATGGTACAAAGAAGACTCGTGAGAGCGGGCAGATGCAAGGTGGAGCAGGCCACGTCTAGGTCCCATTGGAAGCTGGCCTTACTTTTTTGGGCTCTATGGGCTAATTTGACAACCCAATTTTATTACATAGTTTGACCATACGATGTGGGCTCCATGGGCTAATTTGACGAACTAATTTGACTCTATTGTTTTGGGATCTATGTGCTAATTTGACAAACCAATTTGATAACATAATTTGACCCTACCAGTGTGGGCTCTTTGGTTCTGAGACTCCCAAGTAGACATGACCAGAGTCGGCTCAGAACCAACATGTATGCACAGGTAATTGAACCAGGCCCGTGCTACAAACGGGTCGATTCCGGGTCATTGAATCAGACGTTCAATTTTTTGTTTTTTTTTCTCTCTGTGAACCGGCCAGTTCATTGAACCTGACCTGGCGACCACCCGAGCCTGGCCGAATCTGAACTCGGCCCGCCAAATGACCATGTCTATTTGACGACCTAATTTGATTGTACCGTAGTAGGCTCTAGGCTAATTTGACGACCTAAGTCGACCCTATCGATGTAGTCTCTATTGGCTAATTTGACAACCTAATTCGATAGAAATGCTATGAAGCCAATAGTTGGCTCCTTTATGGAGCCAATCACCAATGTTATAGTGTCACGTAGGCCATGTGAAAAAATAATTAACTCCACATGACCTACGTGGCACTATAACATTGGTATTCCATAGCATTTCTCCCTAATTCGATCCTATTGGATTTCAAAAGTTGGATATGGGACACTCATGCAGATATTGGATTATTTAACGTTCGAAAACCATACTGGCAAGGTGAAATTCACCAAATTATATACCCTAAACAACATAAATTAGATTTTATTGATGCAATTAAAATACATGAAATCTATTAAATAATTATTTACATCAATAAAAATGTACTAGGGGACTAATAAATTAACAGACAAACTATTCCTAACGAACTCAATAAACCGTCGAATTTAAACGGACCAACAAATACAAAATTTATAATTTTTTGAAGTTACACCAATCTACTTGACTCATGTAACATATCTAAACAGAAAAACGAAGAAATTGCATAGAACTACTAGAGTATAATACTCGTGTATCATCCAGGTTCTAATAAAAACATTATACCCATGTTTTAAAAGAAAAAAAAAAAGAATGATAATTTTTGTTCTTAATTTTTAAATATTTTTTGAGACAATTATATTATTATTTAAATCACACAATGACTTATCCTTCATATATTATAATAATTTTGTAATACATGTTATAAAATAAATTTGATTAGATAAATTTATTAACTTTGAATTAATATTTAGAAACACTTAAATTTTTACACACACAATACTATTGCCAATTAAAGAGATAATACATTTGATGTATTATAAAAGAAAAATCTAATAATAATTACAAAAACAATTAGTATGTAAAATATATTAATTATTCATATTAAATAAATATTTATATTTTTAAAAATTATAATGTACAAGGGCATAGCTATAAAATCTACATCTATGTAAACTACTCCCCAGTCCCTAGACTCCCCACCACACAAATTAAACCCACAACAACAACAACAAAGATAAAAAGAAAAAAAAGGAAAGAAGAAGAAGAAGAAAGCAAGGAGTGGGAAACCTGAGATTTTAAGGAAAGACTAATGGTGTTTTTTGTTTCTCGGTCAACACTGAACATAACACTTCGGAGTTTATGAATCATCATCAAGTTACATATACAATACTTTCGTCTCGCAATTGCACGAAACATAAGCAAGTCAAAATAGTTTCTACAGAACTTGAGGAACATTCACTTGTCCAATGCAGATATCAGTACTTAAAGCTACATAATAAGACCTCAGGCCAATCGCTCAGCAATCCGGAAGGAAGGCAAGCTGACATGCGCTGGATCCTCGCTCAAATAATGAAATTCTTTTAAGCGCTTGCAATTTCATTTCCCATCAATGTATCCATAAGGTGAGGTAAATATTTCCATCCTCTCCAAGACTCGAGAATTCCTCAAAAAATATCTTACCATGTCAAGTTCATACTCGTTGAACCACATCGACTTAAATGTTATAGTTCTTAGACATGATAATAGGCATTTAGGCACTTGTTCAGGCTCCGGACACAAATGTCCCTTTTCCAAATTAACCTGCCGACACTAAAAGGAGCATAACAAAATAAGTAAAACAAATAAAGGAGCTATTGCAGTAAGAAAAATGAGTAACGGCTAAGGACAAATTTAATTGCATCAACGATATAAACTCCACTTACAATAAGGACTTGAAGATTATCAGCAACTTCAAGGAACTTTACAAGAAAACTCCCTTCCAAGTCCAGTAGGAGTTCAAGTTTGGTTAAATTATCAAAATGTACAGTTGAACAAGCAGCTCTACGAATAAACTGAAAAATTAACACCACATTACGCATATATATAACAACAAAGCCAAAAAATAATTGAAGAATCAAAACATACCTCCACAAATTCCCAACATGATATCTTTAGGCACTTTACATAAGACAGAGAATGAAGAAACTTCACCGCCATGGAATTGTAATTCGTTTTGTGTTTTGACAAGCAATAATTTAGTAAGTTGATATTTGCCTCAACTAAGGAGATCATGGTTATAGGAACTGTTATACACTGCAAGTCATAGCCATACACTTGGAGATACCTAAGGGCCGGGGCATTTATTATCAACCTATATTCAAGGTTAGATGGAGAGGTCAAATCGTGAAGATAGAGCTTAAGCATCTTTATTGTGGGTGATGATATATTTATGCAGCCCACATAATCATAATCCTCATATATGACTGCCATATTCAACACCTCGAGCGATGGATAGCCAGAAAGAAAGTGAGGGAGGGCTTCATCATTCTCGCACACAACATTAGAAACATGAAACTTCTTGAGGCTAGGCAATGAGACATTCTCCACAGCAGACAGTGACGCTCTACAGAAATAAAGTTCCAAGTCGACAATGGTTTTGCAGTTGAAAATGTACCGAGGGAATTTATACGAGTCAAGGTCAAGATAAAGATTCCGGATACCACGGTCAATGACAGCTGTAATCAACGTCTCCAGTTGATACTCGTTGCAGTTGAGGTCACGGAGTGTTAAAGTATCCATTCTTTTTGTCTTGTGCCGCAATATAACCATGTGGATGATGTCCGAGGCTTGTATTCCTTCTTCTTCTGAATCTTGTGTTTCTTCTTCCGAGAAATCGTCCAAGTCTTGTGTTTCTTCTTCCGAGAAATTGTCCGAGTCTTGTGTTTCTTTTTCCGAGAAATAGTCCGCGTCTTGTGTTTCTTCTTCCGAGAAATCGTCCGACTCTTTTGTTTCTTCCGAGACATTGTCCGAGTCTTGTGTTTCTTTTTCCAAGAAATCATCCACGTCTTGTGTTTCTTCTTCCGAGAAATCGCCCGGGTCTTGTGTTTCTTCTTTCGAGACATCGTCCGAGTCTTGTGTTTCTTCTTCCCAGAAATCGTCTGAGTATTTTGTTCCTTTTTTCCTGAAATCGAACCCTCTGAAATGCAAACAGGGTACATGGCCCATAGAAACCTCCATCTTTTTCCGAGAACGCTGGTAGAAACTGAGCGCTTAGTCGGGAGGAAAGAGAGAATGTGGCATATGACTTCATCCGGCAAGCTACTCAGCATATCGATCGAGGCCATGTTTTGCTCCCTATCCGAAATTGTAACTTTGTAACTTTGTAAGCAGATATCCGCCTCAACTAAGGAGACCATGGTTATAGGAACTGTTATACACTCCGAGTCATAGCCATCCACATGGAGATACCTAAGGGCCGGGGCATTTATTATCATTCTATATTTAAGGTAAGATGGACAAGTGAAATCGTGAAGATCGAGCTCAAGCGTCTTTATTGTGGGTGATGATATATTTATGCAGCCCGCATAATCATTTTCTTCCACAGATGTGAATGCCATATTCAACTCTTCAAGGGACGGACAGCCGGAAACAAAGTGAGGGAGGGATTCATCATTCTCGCAAACAACACTAGAAACATGAAACTTATTGAGGCTAGGCAATGAGATATTGCCCACATCAGAGAGTGACGCTCCATAGAAATCAAGCTTCAAGTCGACATTGGTTCTGCTGATGAAGAGAGATGAAGGGATTGTATCAAAATTAAGTGCAAGATAAATATTCTGGATGCCACGGATGATTGCAGTCGTAATCCATGTCTCCAGATGATAATCGTTGTAGTTGAGGTGATAGAGTGTTAAAGTATCAATTCTTTTTGCATTGTGCCGCAATATAACCTTGTGGATGGTGTCTGAGGCTTGTGTCCCTTCTTCTTTGAAATCATCTCCACTGAAGTCCAAACAGGGTACATTGGCCCATAGAAATCTCCATCTTTTTCCGAGAATGCTGGTCGCCATTGAGCGCTTTGTCGAGAAGAAAGAGAGAATGTGGCATATGACTTTGTCCGACAAGCTGCTGAGCCTATCGATCGAGGCCATGTTTTGCTCTTAGTAGTAGAGAGGTCAAGGGAGATGGAGGTTCAGTTGGTGGAGATGAGAAGACTGCTGTTGGTGGAGAGGCCAACGGAGATGGAGGTTCGGTTGGTGGAGATGTGAAGGGTGCTGTTAGTGAAGAGGTCAAGGGAGACGGAGGTTGTGTTGGTGGAGATGAGAAGAGTGCTGTTGGTGGGGAGTCCAAGGGAAAGGAGGTTCTGTTACTGGAGATGAGAAGGGTGTTGTTGGTGGAGAGGCCAAGGGAGATGGAGGTTCTGTTACTGGAGATGAGAAGGGTGTTGTTGGTGGAGAGGCCAAGGGAGATGGAGGTTCTGTTGGTGGAGATGAGAAGGGAGAGCTGAGATCTGAATTCGGTTCAATTCTCGTGGAGTTCGAGAGAATGAACCTGAAAAAGGAAAAGACTTTGGGTGCTCTACATGACAGCATGTACTACTCCATTGAGAGATTTGAAGATGAGACTCCGATATCCATCCTTGTCATGGAAGATACAGAGTACCAGGCAACAATCGATGTTATATGTTCAAAGATAGGCCAAGCGTTTTCTCTCACCTACGAGCAGATTAAGGAGTACGTTGAAGGCTCCTCTGCACTTCCAGTTGCAGCTCTGGAAGTGTCTCCAATAACACCAATTGAGAATTGGTTCATCTTTGGTTGTATCTGTCGTTTAGTTTGGATTTATCTGAAATCTGAATAAAGCGTGTATGTGGCGGACTCTATTTTTTTAGAGTGTTTATTTGCTGAACTTTTTTATATCGTTGGTGTTGATTTAATTCGAATTTTTGGTTAGTATGGATTCGATTAATTCTGCAGGGATTAACATGAATTTTTCTATTGCCATCCATCTCTGGGTTATCTGTGTTTCTTTTTTTCTTTTGGATTATCTGTTGCAGGTTCGCAGACCAACCAGGAGATTAAGAGCGAGTTGAAGGATCTTTAATTTGATAATAATCAATGTATAAACTTACCCTGAGGCGAACTTATGCTGTTTCTTGAGGCAGGCAGGAAAACTGTCGTGGTTCGTAGAGAAGAAGTTGAAAAGTAAGGTAAAGCTGATACAACATTTGTGTAAATTAATGAAATTATATTTAGTCCATAATTTTATTTGTGATTTTGAGATTCTGTGTGCATATAGTCTTGTGACTGGATTAATGCATGTTGAGCATTAATGTTAGCAAGTTAGCAACAAGCATTAATATTCAACATGCATTAATCCAGTCACAAGACTATATGCATACAGAATCTCAAAATCACAAATACAATTATGGACTAAATATAGTTTTATTAATTTACACAAATGCCGTATCACCTTTACCTTACTTTTCAACTTCTTCTCGACGAACCACGACAACTTCTGCCCATAAGTTTGCCTCAGGATAAGTTTATACATTGATTATTATCAAATTAAAGAAGTTCAAAACAAATCTGAAAGAATTTTCAAGACCTACGAGGGTTGAGGCAGAGTTGATGTACAAATACTTCAACTCGCTTTTAATCTCCTGGTTGGTCTGCGAACCTGCAACAGATAATCCAAAAGAAAAAAAGAAACACAGATAATCTAGAGATGGATGGCAATAGAAAAATTCATGTTAATCCCTGCAGAATTAATCGAACTCATACTAACCAGAAATTCGAATTAAATGCAACACCAACGATATAAAAAAGTTCAGCAAATAAACACTCTAGAAAAATAGAGTCCGCCACATACACGCTTTATTTAGATCTCAGATAAATCAAAACTAAAGGACAGATAAGTCCAATGAACAACCAATGATTAACCAATTCTCAATTGCTGTTATCGGAGACACTTCCAGTGCTGCGGCTAAAAGTGCAGAGGAGCCTTCAACGTACTCCTTAATCTGCTAATAGGTGAGAGAAAACGCCCAGTCGTGGCCTATTTTTGAACAGATAGCATCGATTGTTGCCTGGTACTCCGTGTCTTTCATGACAGGGATGGATATCGGAGCATCATCTTCAAATCTCTCAATGGAGTAGTAAATGCTGTCATGTAGAGCACCCAAGAGTCTTTCTTTTCCTTCTTCAGGTTCATTCTCTCGAACTCCACGAGAATTTTAGCGAATTCAGATCTCAGCTCTCCCTTCTCATCTCCACAAACGAAACCTCCATCTCCCTTGGCCTCTCTACCAAGCACCCTTCTCACTTCTCAGAGTAGTGCAGAACCTTGGACTCTCCACCAACAACACTCTTCTCATCTCCACCAACAGAACCTCCATCTCCCTTAACCTCTCCACCAACAGCACCCTTCACATCTCCACCAACCGAACCTCCATCTCCCTTGGCCTCTCCACCAACAACAGTCTTCTCATCTCCACCAACCGAACCTCCATCTCCCTTGACCTCTCCACCACCAAAAACTTTGGGCACTTTCCACTTGGTTGTCTAATTTCCCCCATGTAAATTCTGACAAAGGGTACTTGATTCTTTCAACTAAAAACAAAGGCAGTGGCGTTCAGAGGGTACCAGGATTTAGACTAATTCTAAGTATAACGTGAAGAAGATGATAAGACAAATATGAAAAAGGTTGAGAAATACAGTTAACAGTAGAGCATATTTAGAAACTAATGTAGCTAAGAAGTCGAAAAGGGCAAGAGAGGAACCTGAAACCTGAAGTCTAAGCACGGAGAGTCTTGCAACTTCTATCGCCACATGCTACCGACAATACAACACAAACAAAAGCTAAGACAATATAATACAAACACAAACTAAACAGAAACTACCAAACCCCGGGAATAATACTGGACAGTTTTATTAAACGGAAATAGGAGCAGACAATTAAGGGTAGCTAAAACACATTTCTAAAAAATTGGTCTGGACAGTTTTGATAAAACATCACCATCTTCAAAATGAAAAACTTCATCTTCACAAAACAATATTTCCCTCTGATGTAAAAATTAAAATAAAATAAAATAAAAAGGGAGAGAGAAAGAGAGAAGACTCTTATAACACTAAAAGAATTGAAAGAATAAGAACTGTGCCCTTCCCATGTACATATACTCAAATTCCAACCTAGTTTACACCATTTTTAATTTTTTAGAAAATGTAGTAATTACCTTTAAAATCTGTAAGTGGTGTCGGAGGAGAGGCATGGAGGCGATGTCCCGAAGGCAGTGTCGGAGGCGACTCACAGTCTCAGGCGTGGTGCGGAGATGTCCGAGGCGAGACCAGGAGGTTTTGAGATTAATAAATGAGACCAATATTTGCCTTATATTATATATATATAAATATAAATATTTAAAACAGGTCGGGCCGGGGCGAGGCGGGATTTGTTACCCAGACCTGAATGACACGCGTCTATCAAGTATCAACTGATTCGGTTGATGTTATTGGGCTTAGAGGTTCAATTACTTAGGCTAAGGGTGGATTGATGTATAGGCGAGTTTTTACTGCTAAGGATGGGTCATTGCAATTTTTAATATAAATTTGGAGTTGAAAATGGCAAAAATGGAGCTGTACGCGCAGCCCGCAGGGAAGAAGATGAACTGATAGGTTTTTTTTTCTATTAGCATGCTATACGATGTCGTTTGGCTTCCATTTAATTAAAATATCATAAGTCAAACGACATCGTTTAACTTGAAAGGTAAAAAAAAAAATAATAATAAAATACCTGTTCTGTCAACCCCTACACGCACGCAGGTACACAGGCAAAGAAAAAAAAGGTACTTCATTCACAACTCACAGTCACAGGCTTGTGAAATAGATTCTTTGAGAAAAAAACAAAAAATTCCCCTCATCTCAAAATTGGTCGCCCGAACTCCACCCAACTCTCATCTAATCATCTTCCATCTTTAATTCGTCCACTCATATTGAATCGGGCATAAATAGAATCCGAAAGAAAATTCTTCTCAGTTGTATTCAATTATTCATAAGCGATATTCCAGCGGGGGCCGGTCTTGGGACTTCGGCGGTCGGTGGTTGTCGGGGTGGGAAGAGAAGTAGAGGTAGAGAGATGGAGTTGAGAGTGAAATTTTCAGCGCTTTACTGTTTATGTTCTACGCTTCCCTGAGTTCTCTCTCGATGGCGCTTGCGCTTTTGTTTGGAGGGTTTATTATTTTCTTTTTCGTTTTTTCCTTATATTTGGAATGAGATTGAATGTGTAAATTCAATTTTAGGGAACAGAGATGTATTTGAGTCGACATCTTTCGAAATGAATTTCATGGGCAATGAGTTTGTTGACTGGTTGATAAGTTTTTTCTTTGAATTTGATAATTTCTTAATGTTAATTGATCATTGTTGATTGCATACTTACATTAATGAAAAAGTACTACCGAAAAGTATCAAAATTAGAGGAACCTTCAATTTTTTTGTTGTCTAAGAAGAAAAGTAAGCTCGATAATCAAAATTCAAAGAGCACCGAACTTGACGAAAATCCAATGGATGAATGATAGTTTATTTGTTTATATTGAGAAAGATGTATTTAATAGCATTAGCGATGATGTTATAATGCATCAGTTTCAAAATATGAAATCGCGTCGTGGACTCAAAATACGGTTTAGCAATGATGTTATAATGCGTTGAGGAACCTTCCCGTCATTGACTGAAAAGTTATAATTACTTTTTTTTTCTTTTTTAACTTAATTGAACTTATAAAAAAAAAAAAAGAAGTATTTTTAATATTGCCCTGGCTGATAAAAAATTCTGGGTCCGCCAGGGACTATCGGATCTAGGGTTTGGGTTGGCCGGATGTGCATCTGCTAGGGTGAATTTCAGGTGGAAGAAACCGTCAATTGCGTAGACGAAGACAAATCCGTCGTCGAAAATTGGGGTATCAGAGACTCCGACGTTGATGGATATTTGTTCAGGCTGGCCGGAGGTCACGACGAGGTGGCTGGCGGGTGAGAGGGACGGGACTGTGGAGGCGAAGGGCAGGGAGAGGAAGGATGACGGGGAGAGAGAGAAGGGAGAGAAGTGAAGGAGGAGGTGGGCGAGAGACGGTTGATCGTAAGTGAAGGCGGAGTCCGGTGGGGAGAAGATGGTAAGGGTGGTGATGGCTGCGTCGATGATAGAGAAAGTGGAATTGAATTTTCTCAATTTCGTATTTAGACTTAATGGAGTTTGATGTGCGATATTTTTTTTATCTCGTTAAATGGGTAGTATAGAAAGTTAGGCTCGTGCAGAGGTACTTATTTCAATTTTACTTATGACCAATTGAGCCAAGTAGTTTAGCATAGTTGAAGCAACAAAATATTATCTAGCCTAATAAATAATTAAGATGATATGTATAAGGGTTTCCGAGGGAATTAAATGTAGTCCCCTNAAACTGTCCCTTGATGAGTTTTGTTATGTATTGAATGCATAGAAATGGAAAAACAGATTTGGAAGCACAATCTTTCCCTCTCTTCTCATACACTATTAAAATACACCACCATTATCATTGAATACATAATCCCATCACCATCTTAATCTTATTACAACAAGGATTAGAAAGCAAAAACATATCAAACTTCAATGCTATATTTTCTGTATTGTGAACTTAATTAGAGTTTTTTATCTGATAAACACGAACACAAATTTTTCACAATAACCATAAAATTGTTATTTACCAAAACAATAACTATAAAATTGTTATTTATCAAACTTTTGTTTACAAACAACTAATTCAATCTCCTAGTCAAATAAATTGTCACAATTCGCTATCAATTAATAAAATGTGTTAATCATCAGTTATCCGCCATCAACTAACAATAGCACATTTTCAAGTAATTCAATTCCTTGCTCAATCATGAGTTTTTTTTTTTTTGTCATATAGTACCATTTGTGACGTAGCTTAATAGCTTTATTGCCAATATTTTTCCAGGTGGCCACTATTAGGTTGTTTGATAGTAGCAATCTATAAGGCTATTAGTGATGGCACAATCGAAGCATATACTTCTATATAATTTTTGTATAAAATGTACTTATAAAGTAAGACTGAACATAACACTTGGGAGTTTTTCAATCAATTTTTCTGGTACTTGCTAGTAAATGAGCAGCTACTAATTCAACAAGGGTGGGTACAAATGCCACTAAAACTTGAGCAACACTGAACATAACACTTGGGAGTTTATAAATCATCATCAAGTTACACACCCGATATTTTCATCGTGTCACAATCGCACGAAAGCATAAGCAATTCGAAATATTTACTACAGAACTTGAGGAACATTAACTTGTCGAAATCAGACATCAGTACTTAACTACATAATAAGATCTCAAGCCAATCACTCAGCAACCCGGAAGGAAGTCAAGCTGACATGCATCGGATCCTCGCTCAAACAAGGAAATTCTCTTAAGCACTTGGAATTTTATTTTCAGATCAATACATACATAAAATAGTTCCATCCTCTCCAATACTCGAGAATTCTTCAAAAGATATTTCACCATATCAAATTCATGCTCTTTGGACTGCATCCACGAGATTCTTATAGTTCTTAGGCAGGATAGTAGGCATTTAGGCACTTGTTCTGGCTCTGGACACAAATATCCCCTTTCATGATAAACCTGCTGACACTAAAAGGAGCTATTGCTATAAGAAAAACGAAAAACGGCTAAAGACAAATTTAATTGCATCAACGATAAAAGCCACTTACAATCACTTTAAGGACTTCAAGATTGTCAGCAACTTCAAGGAACTTTACAAGCAAACTCCATTTGAAGTCCAATTGGAGTTCAAGTTTAATTAAATTATCAAACTTTACATCTGAAAAAGCAACTCCTCCATGAACAAACTGAAAAAATTAACACCACATAACGCATATATATAACAACAAAGCCAAAAACTAATTGACATGAGGCCTAAGAGATTGAAGAATAAAAACATACCTCCTCAAATTCCCAACCTGATATTGTTAGGCACTTTACATAACACAGAGAATGAAGAAACTTCACCAACGTGTAATTGTAACTCTGTAAGCAGATAATCGCCTCGACTAAGGAGGCCATGGTTATAGGAACTATTATACACTCCAAGTCACATCCATACACTTGGAGATACCTAAGTGTTGGGGCATTTATTATCATCCTATATTTAAGGTCAGATGGACAAGTCAAATCCTCAAGATCGAGCTCAAGAGTCTTTATTGTGGGTGATGATATATTTATGCAGCCCACATAATCATTTTCTTCCACAGATGTGAATCCCATATCCAACTCCTCAAGGGACGGACAGCCGGAAAGAAAGTGAGGGAGGACTTCATCATTCTCGCACACAACATAAAAAACATGAAACTTCTTGAGGCTAGGCAAAGAGACATTGTCCACATCCAGGAATGACACTCTATGGCTATCAAGCTTCAAGTCGACAATGGTTTTGCAGTTGAAGAGGTATCGAGGGAATGTATATGTAGGCACGTTAAGTTCAAGATAAAGATTCTGGATACCACGGTCGATGGCTGTTGTAATCAATGTCTCCATTTGATACTTGTTGCATTTGATACAATCGAGCTTTAAAGTATCCATTCTTTTTGCCTTGTGCCGCAATATAACCCTGTGGATGATGTCTGAGGCTTGTGTTCCTCCCCTGAAATTGTCCCAGCTGAAGTCCAAACAAGGTACATGGGCCCATTGAAACCTTCATCTTTTGCCGAGAATGCTGGTCGCCACTGAGAGCTTTGTCGGGAGGAAAGAGAGAATGTGGCATATGACAACATGCGGCAAGCTGCTGAGCCTATCGATCGAAGCCATGTTTTGCTCTCTGTCCAAAAGCTTTGGGCGCTTTCCTCTTGGTTGTCTTGTAAAATCGCAAAAGAAGCTGAAAAATTTTCTGTAAACTTCCATTTTCACCAACAGATTTTTTCTTATTGCATGAAAGAAAGAAGACGAGCTATTAATAAGCTCATGCAAGTACAACGACAGCGTTTCGATCTTCTATTATTACACTTAAAAGAACGACACCGTTTTGGACTAAAGAAAAAAACAGAAAACCGAAAAACACTTAAGCTAAAGGCTCGATCACTCAAATATTCCAACAGCCCCCCCTCAAGATGAGCTACGGCTGAAAAAGCTCATCTTGGACAACAGAGAACGAGCCTGTGAACCAGGGAGAATTTTAGTGAAGATATCCGCGAGTTGGTCACGAGAAGCCAGGTACAAGGGAAGAACAAACCCGGACTTGTACTTGTCTCTTATAAAATGGCAATCAATTTCAAGATGCTTCGTTCGCTCGTGGAACACAGGATTTCAGCAATGTGAATGGCGGCCTTGTTGTCACACCACAAAGGGATAGGATAAGGTACCTCAATAGCAAAGTCGCGCAAAATAAAACTGATCCACAAGAGTTCAGACAAAGTAGCACTCATAGCACGATATTCGGCCTCTGCGGAAGAACGAGATACGGTTTGCTGCTTCTTAGATTTCCAAGAAATGAGTGAGCCACCTAGAAAGACACAGTAGCCAGTCACAGAACGTCGAGTATCTTTGCACGCAGCCCAATCCGCATCACAGTAGGCTGAGATAGTAAAAGTCCCATCTTGAGGAAAAAACAAGCCATTAGAAACTGTGCCCTTCAAATATCTCAAGATATGCATGGCAGCCTTCAAGTGTGAAGTGCGGGGAGCATTAACAAATTGGCTAAGTTGCTGGACAGCAAATGTAACATCAGGCCTAGTTAGATTCAAATAGAGAAGCCGCCCAATAATCCTTCTGAACTGTTCTGGTTGTTCCAAAATATCACCATCATCTGCTTGCAATTTAAGACCACAAGGTAGTGGTGTAGAGGCAGCAGAACAATCTAACAAATTCATGTCTCCAAGCATATCCAAGATGTACTTCCTTTGACTTAAGGTAGTACCCAATTCAGTCCGGAGAACTTCAACACCTAGAAAATATCTAGCAGTACCAAGATCTTTGATAGTAAACTGCGTATGAAGAAATTGCTTCAGCTCAACAACTAAGGTGTCATCATTGCTTGTCAACAAAACATCATCAACATAAACTAGAATAGCCATAAAACCAGCACCTCTCTTCATGGTAAAAAGACAATGATCATGAGCTGACTGCCTCATACCAAACATGGACAATTTGTGGGTTAATTCTTTGTTCCATTCCCGTGAGGCTTGTTTCAAACCATATAGACTCTTCCTAAGTTTGCAAACTTGTCCTAATTTTGCCTTCAAATAACCTTGAGGTGGAACCATGTACACCTCTTCAGTGAGATGGCCATGGAGGAATGCATTGTTCACATCAACCTGCTGTAAAGTCCAACTATGCATGGTGGCAATGGCTATGAACATTCTAACTGTGACTAACTTAGCCACAGGAGAGAAAATATCAAAAAAATCGATGCCTTCCTGCTGGTTGTACCCTTTTGCTACCAACCGTGCCTTGAATCTCTCTACTGAACCATCACTAAGCCTTTTTATTTTGTAGACCCACTTGGAGCCAATAGGTTTCTTGCCTGGTGGAAGTGTAGTAAGCTCCCAAGTCTCATTTTGCTCCAAAGCTTGCAGTTCCTCTTCCATGGCTTGAACCCAAGCTGGGTGCATTTTGGCTTGGCCATAGTAAACAGGCTCCTTTTCGACTGAAATATTTCCCATAAAATGTTGAATGTCTGGAACAACAGTACAAACATAGTCACTTTGCCAAGCGGGAGGTCTTTTAACTCTACAGCTTCTTGTTGTTATTTCTGCAACATTATGGTCATGAGAACCAGTAAGATCTGTATTGAAGGTATCGGCAGCACAATTATCTAGTTCTTCCACCACTTGTGGTTCATTTGAATCTGCATGGTCATGTAACACTTGAGGGAGTGTACTGCTCTCTCTCTCAGGCTGTGTAGAAAAAGGGAAATGATCTTCAAGAAATATAACATCCCTGGCCACCAACAACTTATCACTGTCCAAATCATACAAGTGATATCCCTTCTTGCCCCCCATGTACCCCACAAAAATACATTTGATCCCTCTGTGATCAAACTTAGTCTTTGAAGGATGTATATTTGCGGCATAGGCTAGACAACCAAAAGGTCTCATTCTCTCATACTCAGGTGCCTTATGATAAAGCCTCTCATAAGGAGTTTCCCAATTAAGAACTGAAGTAGGCATTCTATTTATAATATAAGCAGCTGTGAGAATAGCAAATGGCCAAAATTTGAGTGGTAGACTTGCCTGAAATAGAACTGATCTTCCCACTTCTAGAAGATGCCTATGCTTCCTCTCAACTACACCATTTTGCTGTGGTGAGTATGCACAGCTTGTTTCATGTATGATACCCTTTGTGTTGAGAAAAGAATGCAACTCCCCATCTAGAAATTCCCTTCCATTGTCTGATCTAATTCTCTTCACTTTGCTTTTAAATTGAGTTTTAGCCATAACTATGAAATCCCTCACCAATTTTGCTGCCTGAGATTTGTGCTTCATCAAAAAAACCCAAGTTCCTCTTGAGTAGTCATCTACCACTGTGAGAAAATATGGAGTGTCTGTCAGTGAATTCTCTTTGCAAGGGCCCCAAATGTCTAGATGTATCAGTTCAAAAACCTCATTAGTTTGAGGGTTACTCTTTGGAAAAGGTTTCCTGTGTTGCTTTGCTTTGTGACATATATCACATGAGTGCAGCACTTTTTCATTTCCTTCTGTGCATTGTGATTTTAGGAAACTCAGATGCTTCAAAGTGGAGAAAGATGCATGGCCTAAGCTTCTGTGCCAATCTATGAAGGATAAGTTACATTTCACCACTTCTGTTTCTGCAGCTCCTTTTCCTTCATAGATATACAGATTTCCAACTAGTTTTCCATGAGCATGTATCTTCTGAGTCTGTTGGTTTTCTAGGTAACAGTTAGAGCCTGAGAAGATCCATCTCAGTCCACTTCCATCACATAGTTGCATAACTGAAAGCAGATTATATTTGAAGGAAGGGACAAGAAGCACTTCAAACAAAGTTACATTCTCATCAAGAACAACTTCACCCTTGTATCTGACTGTTTTGAGGGATCCATCTGGTAAGCAAATGACCACAGTGTTCTTAAGTGCTTGAACATTTGTCATATATCTCTCATCCTTGCAAATGTGCTTGCTAGCACCAGTGTCAATTATCCATTCATCTGAAAAGTTTCCTTTTAATGCGGATAAGGCATAATACATATCCTTATTTTCTTCATTTCCCTCAAAACTGAAAAATTGTGCATAATCCATTCTTTTCTCCTGCTCTTCTTTGCCTTTGATGTACCTTGTCAGTTCTTGTAGTTGGTGCATCATGGAACTGAGGTCTGATATTTGTGTGCCATCATTGCCTTCTCCACTTCCTTTTTGTTGTTGTCCATTGTCATAAACCTCAGCTGCATTGACATAGTTTCTGTTCTGCTGTCCTTTAAACTCCTTGTACCATTCTGGTATCCCATGTATTTTGAAACATGTACTTGTGTTATGCCCTCTCATGCCACATTTTTCACAAATCAGTTTTGCCTTTTCTTCCTTGGTCATTCTGTGGAAGCCTCTTCCTCTTCCAGCTGAATCCCAGCCTTTACTTTCATAGCCACCTCTTCCTTGGTTAAAATGAGTTCCTCTACCATAACTTGTCTTTGCTACCATTGCCATATTATCCATCCTTCCACTGAATTCATTTTGCACATTCCTCTGCCTTTCAGCTGTGAGAATCATAGAATATGCTTTGTTGACTGTGGGCCAAGGATCCATCAGAAGAATTTGATTCTTTGCATTGTCATAGATGTCATTTAATCCCATCAAAAATTGGACTAACTTTGATTCTGAGTCCTGTTTAGCCACAAGTTTCCCTTTCTCACAGTTGCACACTTGTAGAGGAACTATGCAAGCATATTCATCCCACAATCGTTTGAGCTTGTTAAAGTATTCCATTACAGTGTTGTTGCCTTGATTCAGTGAATTAATCTCTCTTTGAACTTTATATCTCAGAGGTCCATTGTTTTCCCCAAAACGCTCCCCTATATCCTCCCACAGTTCCTTTGAAGTGTCAGCATAAAGAAACGATTCAGCTATGTCCTTTGACAAGGAGCTCAAAATCCATGACAATACCATCCAATCCACCTTCTTCCAAGCTTTATATTCAACACTACCTTCATCTGGTTTAGCTACTTCACCGGTAATAAAGCCTAATTTCGTTTTCGTACCTAGCGCGATAATCATCGATCGTTTCCAAGCTAAAAAGTTACTACCAGTCAAAGGATTTGTAACAAGTACCATACCCGGATTTTCAGATCCATGGAGAGAGAGCGGATCCTGATTGGAGTTCACCATTGCTGTTTCTCTTTGCGCCATCGAAAAAATTAAAAAATCACAGTGTAGAAGGATCGATCTGTTGTGCGAAGTTTGATCTGAGTTGTGTGAAGCTTAATCGAAGCGAGAATGGAGATTACCAGGCTCGCCTGCTCTGATACCATGTAAAATCGCAAAAGAAGCTGAAAAATTTTCTGTAAACTTCCATTTTCACCAACAGATTTTTTCTTATTGCATGAAAGAAAGAAGACGAGCTATTAATAAGCTCATGCAAGTACAACGACAGCGTTTCGATCTCCTATTATTACACTTAAAAGAACGACACCGTTTTGGACTAAAGAAAAAACAGAAAACCGAAAAACACTTAAGCTAAAGGCTCGATCACTCAAATATTCCAACATGTCTGGTTTAGGCACCTGATTCTTACAACTAAAAACCAAGGCAGTGGCATTCACAGGGTACCAGGATTTGGACTAATTCTAAGTATAATGTGAAGAAGATGATGAGACAAATATGAAAAAGGTTGAGAAATACAGTTAACAGTAGAGCATTTGTAGCGATTAATGTATCTAAAAAGTCGAAATGGGCAAGAGAGAAACCTGAAACCTGCAGCCTGAACACGGAGACTATTGCAATTTCTCCCAATTCCTATCGCCACTGGTCGGGAATTGCCGGAATTGAGGAGATGAAATGGGAAAGATGACGATGTGGAAGTGGAGTTTCTTTAGGGCTGAAGGACACGCGTCTATCAATTGATTCTATTGATGTTATTGGGCTTTGATATTACTTATTACGAATTGGGCCAAGTATTTTAGCCTAATTGTTGCAACAAATATGATCTAGCCCAATAAGGGTATTGTATGTGTAACGATATTGTAGGGAATTATATGTGGTTCAATGTGATGAGTGTATTGTAGGTATTGAGTGCATATGAGAAATGGAAGTGACAGATTTGGCAATACACTATTCTCTCTCTTCTCGTACACTATTAAAAATTTAAAATACACCACCGTTAACATGGAATCTATCTATATCTATATATATATTAAAGCAGAGCAGCTGGTTTAGGAGCTGCTTTTCCCGTCTAAGATGTAGTAATTGTTGGCTAAGATATGTATTAACTAGTATCAATCCTGTTCACATGCACAAGGTACAAAAAATAAATAAAGGGTATTATATATAAAAATTATAATTAAAATATAATTTTACTTAATAGTATGTATCACATTTATAATCAAATTACATTAAAGACTATTAGTTTTATTTTTATTCTTCGATAAAAAACACAATAGAACTGTAGAATTTATCATCCATTAATGACTATTATTAAAAGAATAATGAATAATCTAATTTTTATACAATTTGAATATTATATTAATAATAAACATAAAAGTTTTATCAAAGTAAAAAAATAATAAATTTAAAATAGACAACATAAATCTTATATTCCACCTAATTTGATTTTTTTTTTCAAAGATTGAATAAATTCTATACATACTATATTTATATTTTCAAAAATAAAATGTACATTTAGATTATTTTTTTATCAAAAAATTTTCACTTATAATTAAATACTTATATTGGTATTATTTTATTATAAAAATATTTGATCATTCTGAAGTATCACAATCACTTGTTACACATTAATAAGAATATATTTTTTATTTCTGTGCACAAATATGTAGAAAAAATAAAGTAACATTGCATCTCAATTAATAGACCAATGTATAAAATTTTATGTATTTTAAAACACTTACAAATTAATTTAGGATTAAATTGATAAAAAATAACATGAGTTGATAAAACTAACATTAATTTACATTATTAAAATGGCTGAAAAAAATAGGTAGGATTAATTATCATATATATATATATATATATATATATATTATTAATAATGAAATCTCTACAAATGAAAAGGCAAAATAATTGATATGGTTATGATTTATTTTTATAGATTTATTTACGAAGAAAATTTCGAAATTGTATTTTACTTTACTTCAAATAATTTCCTTAAAAATCAATTTTATTGCCCTAATTAAAATGGTTCAAAATAAGGATGAATAGTTTAAAATTCAAATGTTAAGCAAATGTAAAATCATAAGAAAGAATAAATTAGTTGCAATATTGTAAAGAGTACGTAAAAAATATATCTTACTTATCAAATTAACAAAGAGTGCAATTATATTAATTATTAAGACAAGACTGTTACAACTTTTATTAAATATTGGAATTTAATGACAAAAACACAAATGAAATGATAAGTGAAACATACCAAAAATAACTTAAAAAATAGGCGGGAAAAGTAGGCTATCCGCATTAATTGGATAGCCTACAATTATATATATATATATAGATTGTTATAAACTTATAATTAAGGTGTCTTTAATACTTAATAAATTTGAAGAACGGTGTAATTTTCTATTACTAACTGGCCTTTAGCTTATTCATTAGTTGTGCCCCATCTTTATGGTCTTCATATCTCAAATCAACCAAAGCTTTTATCTAATTTCAAAATGACTATTCACTTGCTTGCATTTACATATAATAAATAAAGTCCATTATTGTGAGGAAATTCTTGGGTTTAATGCATTGGGCATAATCATGACCAATAATGCTCCTTCTCCCGTCTATTTTCCACCGCATTGACACTCCTTAATGTGTCAGTCTAATTTTCCTTTTTATTTGCCCAAGGGAAAAAAACAAGACATCTATTAAAGTTTTGCCTAATCTTTCTCTCTCATCTTCTTTTCTTCTTCTATCACCTTCTTCCCCAATTTTTGTCGACTGCACTCACGTTTTTCCCCAATTTTTTTTGCCCTAGGGATATATTTATTCTCTTATTTTTGTTCTTATTTCGAGAACCAGCTTCAACCGTTCGACCAAATCCGGATTCGCAATGAACAGCCACCCGTAAGCAACCAGATCTGCAATTAACGGGCCTCTTCGTCTGGGCTTCTGTTCCGGCCGGGCTCTGTCGGCCTTCATTGAGTCACGTGCAGGTACGCGAGCCTCGATCCTGCTTGAGTCCACGCATCGAGATGGTCGATTGCAGGCGAGATCCGAGCTCCGACCTTGGCTGGCCCCACGGCCGAGATCACTGATTGGACGAGATCTGAACTCCGTGTATCTCAAGTTTCTACCGCTCTAGAAGTGGTGGTCCGAGCATTGTGTGGCGACCTTGAGGGCCTCCTTGTGTTCGTTTTTTTTTTTTTTTTTTGGGTATAAAATTGAGATTTAGCGCTCAATGATAAACTAGTTAAATTCTATAGAGAAGCAGGTTAAATGAAAATCCCTACAAGTTATGGTGAAAGAGAAGCAGGTTGAATGAATTAGAATACGACGAGAACGAAATAGGGCTGAGAGATAAGTAGGGTTTAAAACTTTTAATAAGATATAATTTAAGAGATAAAAGAAAAGTTAAAGACTTTAAACATGACTTATTTGTCTTTTGTACCAAATAAAAAGAAAACAACTTCTGACTAGGCAAACACGTCAGGGAGTTGGTTTATGGAGTAGATATTGGAGGGGGCTGTACCGGTACCGAATCATGACAATCCTCCCTTAAAATTCATCACCAAAAATACAAATTTATAACAAAGTGATTAAAAGTATTCATTCTACATTAGACCTAAGTTGTTTATTTGTCAATCAAATTATCATAATTATTTTCTCGACCATTCATTTCTTTATTTGAATTCGAACAGATATAAATATATAGGACATTATGANGATAGGAGATGCTCATAAAACGAATCAAAGTTTGGTACATGACCGCCGAACCTACCAACGGGTAGAAAATAAAATGGGAGACACACTACATGCAGTGGTCTAGATACAAACCCACCCGGGGTATCAAGCAGGCACAACCACCCGAACCTTGACACACCTACGACACATCAACATCAAAACACCCTACCTACAACGCAGCTCCGAAGGAAAAGAAAGGAAAGAAACACATCAACACAAGGCCTGCTACCACCTTGAACAGAAAACAAAAACCAACCACCTAACCAAAATCAACAAACATGTCCACCACAACTACAGCAAAGGAAGAATCAAATTATCATGAAAGAAAAAGAAATGCTTAACCAACAGCTCTAAACTCCTTCCACTCCCTCATAGCTCTTTTCAGAATGATATGCACTGGCACTGTTTCTTTGTTGAACACCCACAGATTTCGAGACCTCCAAAGCCACCATAGGATATATGTTGATAGTTGGATTCGGGCTTCGGAAGTCTCGGTTTTGTTTATAGCACACACTTGCCACCACCATCCTTTGAAGCTTGTGTTCTGTAAGTTTATTCCATCCCAGATCAGTGGAGCCAACTTCCATACACTCTGTGCTTTGTTGCAATGCAAGAATAAGTGTTCTATAGTTTCTTCAGCTTCTCCACAAACAGGGCAAATGGCATCGACTTCAACTCCTTTCCTCTGTAAGTTCACTCCAACAGGTAACACTCCAGAGAAACACTTCCAAATAAAGTGTTTAAGTCGACTCCTAATTTTTAGCTTCCAGCTTCTATCCCTCACAGTAGTGTCCACTCTTTTGGATGTGCTGCTTTCTGGAATGTCAAGCTTGAGCACTTTTTCCTTGATCAGATGTGAGTAGGAATCTGCCACTGTGAATGTCCCTTTGCTGCTGAGTTCCCATTGCCATCTATCCTCACTGTTAGGGTCAATGTTTTTAATCTCCAGAATTTTGGCACTTGTTTGCTGTGAGAAGAGATTCTTCACCAAATCTGCATTCCATCTTCTCCCAGTATCATCAAAAAGTTCATACACCCATACAGGCTCGGATACCACTCCCTGTTGGAAATTAGGAGCTGCACCACCAAGTCCTTTCACCCATCCTCCATCTGAGATTTGAGTTGTTGCCCTGATTTGATCTCTTTCCAGCAATGGGATTTGAAAATAGGTAGCACTGTCAACCAATTTGACCAAAGCCAGGAGGATGATTCTTTCCTCTCAGCTTGGAACAGAGATGAGTTAGGAAAATACTTGCTTTTCAGGATTTTAGATACAAGCAAGTTGGGTTGAGTTGTTATTCTCCAAAGCTGCTTTAACAACAGGGCTTCATTAAAGAGTTGGATATCTTGAAATCCCAGCCCTCCTTGCTGTTTGGGCAATGTAAGCAGATTCCAGTTCTTCCAGTGAATACCTCTCTCCTGAGTTCCCCCTTTGCTCCACCAGAATTTGGCTGTCATGCTAGTTATCTCCTTGCAGATCCCAGCAGTAAGTTTAAAGCATGACATAGCAAAGACTGGTAATGAGTTGATAACTGCCTTGATTAGAACCTCCTTGCCTGCAGTGGATAGGTATTTGTTTTTCCAACTCTCCAGCCTATTTCTGACAGCTTCAGTGACAAACTGAAAGGTCTCCTTCTTTGATCTACCTATTCCAAAAGGGAGTCCCAAATACCTTGATGAGTTGTGAGCAGTCAGACCATCAAGCACTTCACATATATCAGTCATGACCTCTGGTAAGGTATTCTTGCTAAAGAACACTGTAGATTTAGTCAGGTTAACTCTTTGTCCAGAGAATTGCTCATACACCTGCAAGATGTCCATAAGTAAGATAGCCTGTCCCATATCAGCTTTGCAGAACACTAGCAAATCATCAGCAAATAAAAGATGTGTCAACAGAGGACCTCCTCTTGCCAATCTTAACCCCTTGAACACCCCTTGACTTGCAGCAGAGGAGATGAGAGCTGATAAAGCTTCAGAGACAATCAGAAAAAGATAAGGAGAGATGGGGTCTCCTTGTCTCAAACCTCGAGTAGGTTGTACAAAACCCACAGCCTCTCCATTGAGCATAAAGGAAAAGGTGGCTGAAGACACACAGTGCATAATCCATTTAACAAATCTACCATCGAAGCCCATTTTCATCATTAAAGCACTCAGACATCTCCACTCAACCCGGTCATAAGCTTTCATCATGTCAAGCTTCAAAGCCATGAAGCTATGTTTCCCTGATCTGTGTCTGTTCAGGTAGTGGTAGCATTCCTGTGCAATGATCACATTGTCTAGCATTTGTCTTCCTGGAATGAAGGCACCTTGAGATATGCTGATACACTGATGTAAGCAGTTCTTCAGTCTTGTGGCCAGTATCTTGGATATAACCTTGTAAGCCACAGCACAGAGACTTATAGGCCTGTACTGATTGAGAGATGTTGGGTTGTCACATTTGGGAATTAGGGTCACAAGGGTATGGTTCCAATATCTGAGAAATAATCCTGTGAGGAAGAAACTCTTCACTGCTTTGCAAAGGTCCTTCTTGATGATTGGCCAGAAATGCTGGTAAAACAAAGCTGTCATGCCTTCTTCACCCGGTGCTTTCAATGGATTCATAGAGAATAGACAGTTTTTAATTTCTTCCTCCTCTACTTCAGCTATTAAATCCAAATTCATCTCCTGTGTAATTGTTTGAGGTATGAGCTGAAGAATTCTGTCCTCACTTGTAGACCCTTCAGAAGTGAATAGCTCCTGGTAGAACTGGGAGATATATCTTTGCAGGTCCTCCTTGGATTCTAGAGTTCTGTTCCTGTCATCAATCAGTCTGGTGATTGCATTTCTTTTTCTTCTTTGCATAGTTACAGCATGAAAGAATCTTGAGTTCTTGTCCCCTTCTTTAAGCCATAGATTTCTTGATTTTTGTTGCCAAAATGCTTCCTCATAACAGTGTGCATCATCCAGTTCCTTCTTGAGACTTTCCCATTCCTCCCAATTCTTGCCATTTCCCAGCTGTCTCATTTCCTCCAGCTTTAATGTAATGTGAGCAATCTTCTTCCTGCTGTCTGTACCAGTCTGCTTGCTCCATTCAGATATTGCCATTCTTGTGACTTTTACTTTCTCTTTCAATTGGTAGAATGGAGTACCTAGCTGTGGTTTATCCCAGGCCTTATTGACAACTTCCCATATCCCTGGTTTGGAGAGCCATCTCTTGTCAAATTTGAATCTACTCTTGTGCTTTGCTTTTGGTATCTCATTTTGAAGTGTAAGCATCCCATGGTCTGAGGCACTTTTGAACATGTTGTGGACTTTGGAGTTAGGATATCTGGTCAGCCATCCCAGGGAACCAAAAGCAATATCCAGCCTTTCTTCTACCATGCCTTCCTCTTCTCTATTGTTGCACCAAGTGTACTGGTAACCACTCATAGGAATTTCAGTCATGCCCATTTGATAAATGAAACTCTGAAAAGGTAGCAGACTTCTAGTGGATCTAGGCCGCCCTCCTTGCTTGTGCTCAGCCATGTAAAGGTCATTCCAGTCTCCCACAAGACACCAATCTTCCCCCCATTTATTCTTGTCTTCAATCAAGCTCTGCCATTGGATAGTCCTAACAGAATTTTCAGTACTTATATACACAAAAATAATCCAACATGGATCTTCATCACTAGTACATTTAAATTGCACTTGAATACAAAAGGAAAATTTTAACACCTGCAACACTATTACATTCATATCCCAACATAAAAGAAGGCCACCTTTAGTGCCTACAGGTTCAACAAAACAGATTCTATCACCAAACCCTAGCTTATTACACAATACAGCAGTAAAGTTTTTATTTTTCTTAGTTTCAGACAGGAATAAAAACTTTGGATGATGAGTATTTAAAGCCTCTCGAATTTGGGGAACTGTAGAGGGGCCACCCAAACCTCTACAGTTCCACACCAGGGCTAACATTGATCACCCTGGGGCCAATTTTGGCTGGCTACCACCACCTCTTTCCCTGATAGTTTGGCTTTCTTCTGTCCCTCTCCCTGGTCCTGAATATTTTCTTCCTCTTCATTCTGGATGCAAGCATTCTTTCTGCTTCTTTTAGCTCCACAGGGTACCTCCTGAATGATGGTCAATTGGTTCTCCTGTCTTGCTAGTCTCCCAACCTTGGCTGATGTTCTTTTCCACATTTTGCCTTTCTGCTTCTTATCCTGGTTCCCTTTGGCCTTACTTCTTTCTCATTATGCTCTTGGATTTCCATTTTTGTTTCCTCTCCTTCTGGAATGAGTTCCAAGTTCCATTCTCTTTCAGGCTGATTTGTGAAGACAGAAGTTGGTGTAGCTCTCACAGAATTCGAGTCAATATGATCCTCCCTCTCAGCTATCGATGATGAGGATTCCACCAAGGCTAGGTTGTGAGGTGAATCGACTGGTTCCATATAGTTAGAGAGATTTAGATTCTCTCTGTCTGTATCTTCGTGAAATTGTGTCTTTTGTCCTGGATCTCGCAATTCTGGGGAAAGATTTGGCTCAGAGGGTCTGTTCGTGGACGGGTCACTGTTATCGCTGGCCGGTGGTGACGCTGATATGACAACTCCTTCTGCAGCTCTCATCCATTCACCGTACTGGCCCTGTTTAGGTTCTTTCTTGGCAATGTCCTCCACTTTCTGAGTGCAATTTTTATCAACATGTCCCAGCTTCCCACAATAGTAACAAAGACTCACTACTTTTTCATATTTAAACAGGACTGTTACCTTCTCCTCCCCCAATCTAATTGTTGACCATCTGGGAAGTGGTTCTTTCAGATCTAATGTGACTTGTAATCTAATAATTCTGCCTCCCTGGAATCCAGCTCTTGCTATATTAACATCCCTAATGTCCTTGAATGCTGCTCCCAGTTTTAGCCCCACTTCTATGCTCATCCAGTTAATCGGAACTCCATGGGCTTGGACCCAGATTGTTATCTCTCCAAATTTTGGATGTTTTTCTGTTAGTCCTTTTTGCCAGGGTTGGAGAATAATGTACTGGTTCTCGAATATCCAGCTCCTTCCTAGGTCCACGCGTTGCATAGCTTCCCTACTCGGAAATAGGAATTGAAAGTAGTTGCCACTGAGCTCACGAACTTCAAGCGTGTTTCCCATTCTCCACAGAAGTCCCATGGTTCTTTTGATTCCTATCCAATTTGCTTTCTTTTCTCCGACCACTTTCCCGAACAAACTTCGATTGCATTCTTCTGCACTGAAGCGGACATCCTGTTCTTCGATGTCGATTATGAGTTTTTCTGCATCTGCAATCGAAATTTGCCCTAATCTCTGCCCTAGGTCTTCCTCCATCCCCGCAGTGCTATTATATGAATATTTCTCAAGGATATTACTCTCTTATAGATCCCTTGACTTCGCTAATCGAAGAAGAACACTCCCTCTGGAGATGAAACTCTCAATAACAAGAGAAGAACCTCTCAGCAACGAGAGAAAATCACATTCAATATATTTGGAAATATTGAATTTGATTTTCAGAATTTTTTCAATTCTTTAATTGAAAATATATATTATACAAAATAATAAAATGATGAATATTATCTTAAAAAATATAAAAAATGTATAATTTTAAGTTTCATCCATTATATATTTTTCTAATGCCACAACTGATTACATATTACATGTTTTAGCATATGGAACTCAATATAAATAACTTAATTTTTAAATAAAGTTACTTCAAAATACAATTGTGAAAACCAAAGTAATAAATGAAACAGTGTAATATAAATTTGTTCTTAGTATGAAATAATGAAGGTATATATTTATTCTTATTTTCATGGTATATAACATTCCACTGGTAATATTTATTTCCACTGCCAATATTCATTGCTTTGAAAAGAATTTGTTAAATCTTTTGTGGATAATTTAAATAAGAAAAAGTAATTATTTGCACGAAAACTTAATTAAAAAAATAACACAATTATTAGTATATATTAGTTTATATATAATATTTTAAATATATATACTACCATATTTTCATAATCATACAAACGGAGTGCAAATAATATTGATAAACTATACTTTAAGGTGATTAACTATTTTAATATAAAAAGAGTTCCAACGGTTTACCACTTGATAAAAATAGCAATGTTTATTATTGGTGATATTTCTAAAATATGTAAATTTCGATACAAGGATTCATTAATCTGGTTTATAACAAATTGCAAACTTACTCAACCAAATTTCATATATAATTTTTTATTTTACTTTCTAATATATTTAAATAGATAAATAAATAAATAAGAACAAAGATATATAGATTCAATATAAAGTTATATTTCTTATAAATAGTGTAATTTATTCAACTTAAAGCGAGAAATTTTTAGAAAATAAAATAAAAAAGTATCATCTACGGGTATTGGGTACTAACATGCATATTCATATGAAATGTATCGCGAGAATAGTGAACAACCTCTTTACTTCGAGAATAGTGAATAACCTCTTTACTTCGACAAAACAGTTTATATGAATTTAGGTTTATTTTTCCAATATCCACCATGAATATGAAAAAATAAATATAACAAAAGAAAAAAAGAACAACTTAGAATTGAACATAGCATCAAAATTTTATTTTATTTATGGAAAAAAAATATATAAATATTTTAGAATAGATATTAGAAAAATAATAATGATAACATTCCAATTGAGAAGGTTACAAGATTCAGAGAGGCCAACTCATGTCTTTAATTGTGAAAGTGAAGAGAAAATTCATATTGGGTTTGGTTTGATTGAAGATATTGTTTGACCCACAAAAATTCATTTTTTTTTTTTTCTATTTTTAGTTGGTATACTTTATTTTATTTTTGTCAAAACATAGAAGAGGCCATCTAGACATATGTGCATAATATTTTTCCTATCATTTTAATTTTTTTGTTGTCCATAGTTATACAACTATAATTTCTGAAAAAAAAATTAAAAAAATAGCGTAACGTGTTAATTTATTGTTAGTTTTTTATTCGTATATCTATATTGTTTTTATATGAATGATGGGAAGATATTGTCTTTATCGAAACATTACGACAAACAAAGTTCTGCACGAAATACCTCAAATACAACAACTATTTTTTTTTTTTTTTATCATATATCACAAGTGTTAGTTATACTTTTATTGCTTCAGTGCTATATATTATAATTTAAATATTTTATACTTATTATTTTACAAGAATTCTGTCAATGAGTATATCTAACAAAATAAGTTAAATTATAATTCTCATAAATTTAGTGCAAAACAAGTGTTGGTTATTGATCTAAACATTGACGGTGAACATCTTGATTGTTACCTTAGCATGATCTAAATATAAACATATGAAGTATATAGTGAAATACTATTTTGATATATATAGACATTTATACTTTTATTTTTCTACTTTTAGATGGATATTTATTGTCATAGTTCGTGTAAGAAAAATAGATGATTTAGTGTTTGAATATGACATCCGAAGTTGGTTTCATGTATGGGTAAAAAATGGACTATATTATGGAATGATATAGTGAAATAAAAAAAATAAAAAAAAAAATAAAAAGAAATAATAATAGAAATAGTGAGGGTGTCTCAACCATATAGGATATAAAGAATGACAATATGATTATGACTGTAAAGACTGAATAAAACAATATATATTTGTAATTGAATTATTTAATGGAATGATTGTTATATATGAGGCCTTTTATAGTGATTTTGGTCCTAAATGATTGAATAGTTTGAGCCCAAAATACATAATTTGTTTAATTTATTTTATTTTTAGTTGATATCATTTGTTTCATTTATACTTAAATTTGAGGTCATCTAAAAGTTTCTACTAAAAAGACTGCCTAAATTTTAATATTTTCATTGATCCACAATTATGCAACTATAATTTTTTATGAATAAAATTAGCATAATATGTTAACTATTGTTAATTTTTTGTTATTATAACACATGTTATTTTTTCTTAAGATAATGACAAAATATATTATCGCTACTGAATCTTTGCAATGGATAAAGTTCAATACTATGTACAATAATGCATCAACCACTTTTTTTATCATATATCATAAATGTTAGTTTTACCAAAATAAATTTTATTCTTTTATAATTTATATAACATAATTTAAATGTCTTTTATTATCATTTTACAAAAACTCTATCTATGTCATTTCTAAAAATTATATTGAATTACGTTCCGCATGCATTACGTGCAAAAAAATAAGTAATTTGTTATTGACATGAACATTAAGGTGATCCATTTGCACGTGCAAAAAATTATTTTGTATATTTGTAACTTTACAAAAGGTGATCCATCTTGCACGTCATTCTAATCACAATCAGATTTATTTTGCACATAAATGAAATTGAATTTATTTTGCCAATTAAAAAAAGTGAAAGACATGTGGACCTAATTTGAAACTAAATGCATGCAGTTAAAAATTAAGTCATTTTATTTTTATTTTTATTAGGTATTTAATTTATATTTTTTAATTTTAATTGGCTCATATTTGTATATGTTTATTTCAATTATTCTATATCAACTTATCTATATAATAATAATAATATATTTAGTTAATCACAAATGAAGAAAAGTATATTATTATTAAGACATTTTTTCCTTCAAGGAGTGTCACTATGTGACAAAATACCAATTTTCGTCGAATATCATAAATGTTTTTAAGTTCAATTTTTTTAATTTGAAAATATTTATGAAAAAATTATGGTATTCTATAATTACAATCAATTATATGTTGTTGTTTCTATAGTCATGATCCCTGTTGTCTTATGATTATTATTCAGGATGATAATGGTAATAATTAATACAATTTATCCACTAAAAATGTTATATTTAGAGAAACATTTTAAAATAAAAGGAATAGATTTTTCATCATACTTTTATTTTCTCTACAAATATTTTATGAATAGTTTGTATTTATTTAAATTTTAATTCATTCGCATCATTTTTTAATATCAGGCCGCGCAACGCGCGGGTGCCGTACTAGTACATAATCAAACCTCAAGCTACAGTTTCTGTACTGTGAAATTAATTAGAGTTTTTTATTAGAGTTTTGAGCGAAAACTCTATTAAAAAAGAAAAAGAAAAGAAAAACAAAATAAGAACATTTTGATTTGCAGAATACAATGAACACAAAATTTTCACAATAACTATGTCAATTGTTATTTACCAAAGTTTCATTTACAAACCATTAATACAATCGCTAATCAAATTAATTGTTACAATCTTCTATCAATCGCTGATCAAATTAATTGTTACAATCTTCTATCCACTTTCAATAAATAACCAAACAATGCCTATATATTTTCAAGTAATCCAATTGATTGCTCAATCCTGAATTTTTTGTAAGATATGAGTTCGCCATGGAGCAGCTGACAGAACATCACGACACGAAGACCTCACAAATAGTCATCGTAACACAATACAAACATACCAAAGACAATTTAGCAAAATCTGATAATCCGAACAAACCAAATCCCAATCCAGACCATTCTAATACAATCTCAATAGAAAGCAGGCTCACATTCGACGGACACTCGCTCGAACAATAGAATCATCTTAACCGCGTCTAATTTTTCCCTACAACCGACTCGAAGGTGGTGAAAATAAATCACCACCGCCATTAGAACTCTGGCATTCCCAAAAGTTACACTTGTGGAGACGGAGGTCTTGGTGTCGGGACATCAGGGCGTGAAATCCCCGTTTCTTCACTTCATTTTATGAGTAAGGATGAAGTAAATCGAACCCTCGTCTTCTCCTTCATTTTGAAATCCCCATTTCTTCACTTCCTCACCCGAGATCTCCTGCATTTCAAGCCGAATAACACGGCAGCTGCATCTCAAACGAACAATTTAAAAATATGTAGAATAAATGTTTTTAACTCCAAAAATGTATAGCTTAATAAACAAAATAAATATTATACCATGGATAGGACTAGATTTTGAAACAAGAAGATACATTAACATGTTCACACTAAAAAACTGATTATTCTTGCTGTATATAAAGCATTTTCAAACATTCTTCGACAAGATGATGAAAACAATAAGAAACTAAAGTTGTCACACTTAACTGTAAAATCTTGCATTGCATCAACAAAACCTTATGAGGCAACAAATATTCCAATATTATCAGGACTCTTTGACAAAAAAATAAAATAAAATAAAAATAAAAAAAAAAACGAGCAGCACCAGAATCAATTTGGTTAAATTATGAACCTGATAATGTCATAGTTGAAAAACATTATAACTTTCCCTTCACCCCAACATTTGTGAGTTTCCTCCTCCAGCCCTGAAAATTGTGCAGTGGAAAAGTATTTTTGAACTGTAAAATAAAATAAACTCGTGCGGATTGAAGATTTGACTGCGCAAAGTCGACAGGAACTAGCAAACTAAGTATTTTTAAAAAATTTCCCGCCTCGTATTAGCTTCCGATAAGATTGCACAAATATGAATTTTCTTTTGATTTTATTCAAGTAAAAGACAAGACATACAACAGAGTATAAGGACTAGTCTGGAATAGAAGGGGCTAAAGAAAAGGAAAGGAAAAAAAAATCGGATATCTTATCCACCTTCAACCGGAAGAAACATTAGTCCAACATCAGCAACATAACACAATCTCCAAAAATACAGTCACCACCTGAATACTTAAGAACTAACATTTGTGTTGATCATCCAACAGTTAAAACCAAGCTTAGTCCCACGTGAACACGAGCTTGCATTATACAGATTATCGATGAAAGCTGGATTCTCTCGAGCGTGTCAGGTCTTGTCTCGGGAGCATTATGGTCAGCTTGGGAACATATCTCCATCGGTGTCCTCTCCATGACAAAGGCCGGGAAATGAATCTCTTTTACCCAAAAACAAGAATCATGTTTAAATGAAAAGTGTTATATCAGTGGCATTAAATTAAACACTTAAGTAAAGTCAAAAAATATGGCAGGTTCTCCAGTATTTGCTAGTGAAATTTGTTGAACTAGGCTCCGCATTGAGTTTGTTGAAAGAAAGTTTGTAAGGAACAATGAGCTCCCATTCATGCATAATTTCCATTTGTTTGCTGAAAATACTTTAGGATACAAGCATATAATTTTGGTCTGGATGATGATCAGGTTCAGATCATGAAAGCATACAGTACATTCCAACTATTTTCACGTAATCATGACGCCCTGGTTCAAATTATCCAAGATTTTCGCTATTTTGAAAGCTGACAAAATGAGACAAACAAATGAAAAGCTTCATATAATTAGGAGATCACTGATCATCAGATAAAAACACATCAGTTTCTTTTTATTTATTGTTGTGGATGATGATCATGTTAGATTCATTAAAACACAACAAAATATCAAACAACGTTAATATCACACAAAATAAATTATCAAACTTCGACAAAAGGATTAACCTAAATCTGGTAGGCACAGATCGACAGCAGCAAAAGCTTTGGCGACAAACAACAGCAGCTAGGTCAAGATGTAATGGAGCTACTTACTTTTAGTACCATTTGTGACGTAGCTTAATAGCTTTATTGCCAATTTTTTTTCCAGGTGGTCATTATCTGGTTGTTTGATAGTTGCAATCTAAAAGGCTATCAGTGATGGCATAATCGAACCATATACTTCTAGATTATTTACTTTGTATAAAAATGCACTTATAAAGCAAGACTGAACACAACACTTCGGAGTTTTTCAATCCATTTTTCTGGTACTTGCTAGTAAACGAGCAGCTGCTACTGCAACAAGGGTGGGTACAAATGCCACTAAAAACTTGAGCAACACTGAACATAACACTTGGGAGTTTATGAATCATCATCATGTTACAAACTCAATATTTTTGTCGGCTCACAATTGCACGAAACATAAGCAAGTTGAAATAGTTACTACAGAAGTTGAGGAATATTTGGTTGTCAGAATGCAGACATCAATACTTACTACATAATAAGGTTACAGGCCAATCACTCAGAATCAGAATCCGAAAGCGAAAGGAAGTCAACCTGACATGCATCGGATCCTCGCTCAAACAATGAAATTCTCTTAATCGCTTGGAATTTCTTTTTCAGATCAATACGTTCATACCATAGTTCCATCCTCTCCAATACTCGAGAATTCCTCAAAAGATATCTGACCATGTCAAATTCATGCTCTTTGGACTGCATCCACGTCATTGTTATAGTTCTTATACAGGATAATAGGCATCTAGGCACTTGTTCGGGCTCCGGACACAAAATTCCCCTTCCATGATAAACCTGCTGACACTAAAAGGAGCATAACAAAATGAGTAAAACAAAAGAAGGAGCTATTGCTGTAAGAAAACGAGAAATGACGATATAAACTCCACTTACAATAAGGACTTGAAGATTATCAGCAACTTCAAGGAACTTCACAAGCAAACTCCATTTGAAGTCCAATAGGAGTTCAAGTTTGGTTAAATTATCAAACTTTACAGTTGAAAAGGCAACTCCTCTATGAACAAACTGAAAAAATTAACACCACATTAAGCATATATATAACAACAAAGCCGAAAACTAATTGACAGGAGGCGTAAGAGATTGAAGAATAAAAACATACCTGCTCAAATTCCCAACTTGATATCTTTAGGCACTTTAACACAGAGAATGAAGAAACTTCACCAACATGGAATGGTAACTCTGTAAGCAGATATCCGCCTCAACTAAGGAGACCATGGTTATAGGAACTGTTATACACTCCGAGTCACAGCCATCCAATTGGAGATACCTAAGGGTCGGGGCATTTATTATCATCCTATATTTAAGGTTAGATGGACAAGTCAAATCGTGAAGATCGAGCTCAAGCTTCTTTATTGTGGGTGATGATATATTTATGCAGCCCGCATAATCATTTTCTTCCACAGATGTGAATGCCATATTCAACTCCTCAAGGGACGGACAACGGGAAAGAAAGTGAGGGAGGGTTTCATCATTATCGCAAACAACATTAGAAACATGAAACTTCTTGAGGCTAGGCAATGAGACACTGCCCACATCAGAGAGTGACACTCCATAGAAATCAAGCTTCAAGTCGACAATGGTTTTGCTGATGAAGAGAGATGGAGGGATTGTATCAAAATTAAGTGCAAGGTAAATATTCTGGATACCACGCACGATTGCAGTCGTAATCCATGTCTCGAGTTGATAATCGTTGCAGTTGACGTGATAGAGTGTTAAAGTATCAATTCGTTTTGCATTGTGCCGCAATATAACCCTGTGGATGATGTCTGAGGCTTGTGTTCCTTCTTCTTTGAAATCGTCTCCACTGAAGTCCAAACAGGGTACCTGGGTCCATAGAAATCTCCATCTTTTTCCGAGAATGCTGGTCGCCATTGAACGCTTAGTCGGGAGGAAAGAGAGTATGTGGCATATGACTTCGTCTGGCAAGCTGCTCAGCTTATCGATCGAGGCCATGTTTTTCTCTCCATTCGAAAGCTTTGGGCACTTTCCACTTGGTTGTCTGGTTTCCTCCATGTAAATTCTGACAAAGGGCACTTGATTCTTACAACTAAAACCCAAGGCAGAGGCATTCAGAGGGTACCAGGATTTAGACTAATTCTAAGTATAATGTGAAGAAGATGATGAGACAAATATGAAAAAGGTTGAGAAATACAGTTAACAGTAGGGCATTTATATAGCAACTAATGTAGCTAAGAAGTCGAAAAGGGCAAGAGAGAAACCTGAAACCTGAAGCCTTAGACTCTTGCAACTCCTATCGCCACATGCTACTGACAATACAACACAAACAAAACTAAGACAATATAATACAAACACAAACTAAACAGAAACTACCAAACCCCGGGAATAATACTGGATATTGGGAACGGAAATATGAGCAGACAATTAAGGGTAGCCAAAACACATTTCTAAAAAATTGGTCTGGACAGTTCTGATAAAACATCACCATCTTCCAAATGAAAAACTTCATCTTCACAGAGTATTCCCCTCTGATGTAAA